AGCTTAGCCACCAGCCACCTCTCCCTACTCTGGTGGGGGGAGGGAGAGGTGAGGGGGAGCAAAGTGCCTCACTACCCTTCACTGCCTCACAATGTTTCTCTAACGAAGGTGTGAGTTCTCCTATTGGTCAGCATCTTACCCCCGCCAAGGTTTATGATTGGTCAACTTGAACACACCACGATCCCTTGTTACCTCATCATCATCATCATCATCATCATTATTATTGCCGTATTGATAAAAAAGAATTATTGATGAATATGCCTTTAGGGAATGATTAATAAATATGGTTTGAAAGAATGAAAAACTCTCTCTCTCTCTCTCTCTCTCTCTCTCTCTCTCTCTCTCTCTCTCTCTCTCTCTCTCTCTCTATGCTAAAACAGGTTTAATTTAGTAGTTTATTATAATTATCTTCTTTATGTAACATGACCTACAAATGTATCAAGAAATTCTCCAATCAACCAGACGGCAACACTTTACAGATTAACAGTGTTGCCATATGAAGAGGGCCATATTTTATTATAATTAATTCCCATAACATTAATAAACATCTAATTTACTCGAGTCGCTCTGAGATATGCGCAGTAAGGGTGCATAACATATCAATAATCTGATAATGTAAATAGACGAATAAGGTGCCTGTCTGTGCGTTATAGTGGGGTTTAAGGATAGAAACGTAAAATTTAACCAGTTTAACTTGTTGCTTCTTAGACAGTAGTACAACGTCTCCTCCCTTGGACAGATAGACAGTATAGCCGGCATGCAAATTCCCATTAGCTTGATATATATACCGTATAAACAGTGGAAGTATGCAAATAATTCACCTATTATAAACAACGTAGGTAAATAATGTACACAAATAAAATCACATAGGTATACCCAGTGTAAAATAGTTAAGCCCCTCTCTCGTGATGATAGTGTCCGTGGTGATGGTAATTATGGTGACGATAATGGTAGTGTTGGTAATGATGGGAGTGTGGGTGAATATGGTGGTGATGGTGGTGGTAATGGTGGTGGTGATAGTGGGAATGGAAGGGTGGAGGGGGGGGGTGGCGTGACAGAATCCTCAAAGGGCTTTACTCCCTTATGTCAACTAAATATATTCCCCTTACATTAAATTAACAGGAGGGTGTGACGTCATAGAATTACCACACCCACAACACCGTAACAATACACTATCCTCATAACTACATTACCGTCTTCTAGAACTACCCACATGTATATCAGATTGTTACAATTGTGTGGAATGATCTTTATGTCTCTTAAAGATAAAGATTATAAAGAATTAATGGTATATGTTTTACACGATAAGCCCCCCCTCCCTTGCATTGAGATAACGTCACCCCGAAAACCAGCAGGGTACACTCACACAGCTTTAATAGTTACCAAACCCGGGGAGAACCGCCACCACAGCTGACCTTCGATGACCTTGCCTAGCCCAGCTTAACTGTCTTCTCTGGTTTAACCTTGGTCGTCTGTTCATTACACTTGACAATAATTTTAACCTTGGGTCAAAATTTGCTTCGTCTCGTAATTAATTTGTTTTTCTTGGCGTCTTTTATTTATATCTAGTGGAGTTCTCTTGATGATGATAATGATATGCACTTGACCTTTAAGACTTACGGATCAGTCTTTTTAATCTTTCTTGACCTTGTTGAACTGAAGCAATAAACTACTGTATTATTCTTACTTATAACTATGATTGATCTTTAATTTACCATGACTACGACTAACCTAAATAGTTTCCTCTTATAAACTCCAGTGACCTTGCTTAACCTCTTTCATCCTATTGTATGACCTTTCTAAGCTAAGTACTCTCCCCTGTTTAACCTAACCCGTGACCTTACTTAACATTGGTATTCTTCTCTATTTCGAGTGAAGTATTCTGGTTTAAACCTCATTTTAACCTTCTATGATCTATATTGTATTAAGGTTTGTCCTGTTTTAACCCTTCTTGATCCTGTTTAAAACCGCCTTTCCTTTTTTGTTTGACCTACCATAACCCCATATGACCTGGTTGAGCTCTCCTAGCCTTTGGTTTGTTCAGGTATTCTTGTTTCTTTGACCTTACTTAACCCGTAAATTTTCAAGCCTCTACTTTAATCGACTGTAACGTCAGTATAAACGCCTTAATACCCCTTAATGTAATAGTTTATATAAATGTAATGGCTCCCGTAATTGTAATAACCCAAGTGTAATACCAATAAATTACAGTAATACTAATTTCCGCTTACTAATGTATAAACACTTGGAACACAATAATATATACAATTAAGACATAATATTAAAAGTATTATTATTTATCAAAAAGTTTTAGCGCTAATATTATATACACGAATTCGTATATAAAGTTTCATGTTTATTGTTCTGTCAGATTTACATTAGGGACCCGTTAAAGAGAAGTAATTTTCTGTGATATATTTTAGGGGTAAACCCAAGAGGTACATACTATGTTAAAAAGAAATACCACGAACAGGACCGCCATTTTTTTATTATTATTTTTTATTTTCAGATCAAAGCCTATCCTCACGTAGTCAACCCTTACCTAACCAAACCCAACCTAACCAAACCCGATCTGATGTTATGTAATGTAAACTGACCTAGCCACAATAATCACAACCTAACCGAACCTGACCTAACCAAACCTTACTAAATCTATCCAAATATATCCTAATGCAGATAACCCAACCTAATTAACCTTAACCTTACCTTAGTCTAATCTAAACCTAACCTAAGCCTAACTAAAATTTTTACTTTTTCCATGTGACCTTTTTTCTGGACACTCAAACTTCCTGGTATGTCTAAAACCGTATAATTTTCTCGGTTAATCTGAGTTTTCTTTGAACCACTCTAAAACCTCCCAATATACGTTTTAGTTTGTTTGTCTGTACTTAGGCACGACGACTTGCTCTCTGGCATGTTAATTTTGTTTGGGTTTAATTAAAAAAAATTTTTACCCCTTCCTTAATGAAATGCAATTATAATGGTTTTCCTAGGCATTGATCAAATCGACTTTGTGACAAAGGGTGACTTAATTGAAGTCCAGCGTTTATGCCTGGAGCTGGCTGATGGCCGCCCCACTGGGGGTCACAGCTCAAGGTTGAAGAAGCTGCAAGTTCGAAAATTTGAGGACAAACTTTTTCGGAGTGACAATTGTGAACTCTTGGAACAATCTGCCAGAGAATGTTGTGACGGCACCGAGTGTGAGCTCATTCAAGACCAGACTTGACCAACACTGGTGCAGGTGCAGATACATCCTGGAGCCATTGTAGAGGATTCCTCCCCTGCAACCGCCGTGTCCCTGACCAGCCGACCCCCCGGTAACCAGCGCCGCCGAACAAAGCGGAGGTCAACCATCAAGCCACTCCTACCCCCGCTATATAAGACCTCACGTGGCCGTCACCTGGCTCTTTCTAGCTACAGCCACCAGCAAGCAACACCTCCTCCTCTGCTCCCGCCGGCGACCATGGCGACCCACAAGCTTATCCTCCTCTGAGCACCCTCACCAACCAGCTCTCTGTACCCAACGCTTGTAACCATGCTGCCTTCCCAGCACCAAGCTGCATTGTACATCCAATACAATATGTATACAGAGAGCACATTGTGAGTTTCCTTTCTCCATCCCATCCTGAGTGTGAACGAATGTCTTATAACCCCACACCATTAAGGTACTTGCCAACAGTGCGTAACAGAGGCGTTTTTGTGTAGTAAAAGTTAATTCATATTGACCTCAGAATATCTCCTAACATCAAGTGTACAGTCACCCAAAAAAGTCCTGTCGTGAACCATGAACCCCGAGATTCAGAATCTTGAATTCGAAGCATTTATGGACAGAATAATGTATCAGTGTCTACTGCTTCGGGTTCACGAGTCTGAATCGTGGTTCGCGACAGGACGACTTTTTTGGGTGACTGTACATGGCTTCCAAAAATTGGGGGGGCAGGGATTACAGCGCCCACTCCCAAACCCCCCAGCTGGGTGGGTTCGCTGTGCTCGCCATGTTTCTCCACCCACAACTTCTTGGACCCTCTTTTTGATATTCGCCCCTATGCCATGTCAAGGGGTTATGACAGTGGCGGCTCGTGAAAGATAAAATGGAGGGACTGCAAGCCTCACACAACAGTAGGATACACAAATTTGACCTACCTCAGGTATGAGTTGTAGTTGATGTCAGCTGGGAAAAGTTGATGTTTTGCAAATACTTCACTCGATTTTCCATCGTCAAAGGGTAATTAAAGAAAGCACGAGTTAACCACACCGTCCACACGCAATGTAAACACGTACGAGACTGAGCGGCGCCAATTAATAACAGACATGAATCGTACAGCATTGACAGCAACTATGAAAGTAACTTAAATTTTGGTCTGATTTTAATGAAAATTCACTTAGCAACGTATTGAAAATAATTAAATAACATATAAAATGATATATTTGTTGGTAGTGTATTATTGAGCTGTCTCTCTAAAGGAATCATACGCCTGGCAGTGAGTGTCTGGGGGGACTGCAGCCCTATGCACGAGCCGCCACTGATGATACTTGTTGTGTGTGTTAAAGATTGCGTTTATAGTATGTCTATAGCCTATAGGCCTAAAGATAAGTGCTGTATCGAATTTTAACCCATAACTTGCAAAAAATCAGTGGGGATGTAGAGTGTGTTCCTCAGTAGGAATAACTTAAGACATCTTCATACCGTCTTTGTACTCATTTTCCAAGTGCTGTTTGTTCCCTATATATCAATGACCTTATCTACCCCTATGTTCTCTACTCCAGTCTCGCCTCCCGTCACCTCTGACCAAAGTTGCCCTTACTTTTATTTAAACGTTTATCACTTCACTTTTTATGCACAATTGTCAGATTTACTGTCCAATAATTAAAATATTTATTCAATCTAATAGATTAGATATTACAACAAATTATTTTTTATTCCTTAGTATGAACAGTATAGAAGAGATACTTGTTTGTTTTGGTCCATCAGCTGGTGGCCGTGTTCGTTTCCTTTAACATGTAGTCAAGTGTATTGTAATCTTTTAAAAAGAACTTTCCAAAGGTGTTTGTAAAACGTTTCAAGAAGTTATATGTAAATGTATTTTGTAAACTTGCCTTATATCTTTTGTTCTCAGTTTCATAGTAATATAGGGCATTAGCAGTCATATGATAGTCAACACGATCACGGGGATGTTTGAGACTGGTGGATCAAGAGTTAAGTTATCCTTCATTTCCAAGTTATCCTTTACCAACTGTCTAAATGGAGAACGAGGAAAATAAAAAGGTATATTTTGATTATGTTAGAGAAACTTTAAATGTAAATGTGATTAACAAAGGGTACCTGCTGTATACAGTACATAGCCTAACATGTGACGACATTCTTCATGTGCCAAGGATGATAATTTTGTGTAAAATGGACTCGGGTTAATACATAGCTATAGTGTACAGTACAAGTCTGGTGCGGAACAAGAAGTATTTAGTTTTTATTCACAAAAATCATCCAGGTATTTTTAGGATTTTAAGTTTTGGAATCACTAGTTCAGACAATTATAAGACACGTTTCTTCTGTGGCATTTCTTCAGCTCATGATCGCTTAAAGAGAAAATGAAGGTCAGAATAATCCCAACCCAACCCTAAACCTAACCTATCCACCTTTGTGCTTACCTTAATTAGCCTCGGAAGAGTCGGAGTTGGGGTCATCGGGGTCCTCGTCATCCACAGGTCGCAGCAATTCTCCTTCCACAGTACCAAGGGTGTTTATTAGGGCTGGTTACAATTCACACAAGTAGCCTCAGTTGGCAAAACACCATGATCCTGGAGAAATTTCAATGCCTCACCATCTTTACTGTAATATTCTACATGAATTCTTGCAATGGCTTATAAATAATTAATATCACTAGGGGGTTAGGTTAGGTTAGATAAGAAAAACATTATTTTTTTTTCCCCAGAAAAACTATCTAATTAAAAAAAAACAGCAAAATTCATGCAGGGAAAAAAATTGCTGGCGAAATCGCTCGCAGCACTTAAGTAAACATTTACCATTGAATTGTCTAAACTCCTGTTTCCAAAACTTAAAATCCTAAGAATTGCTAGATGACCAAACCAATAATAATACTGTTCATATTTTGCTCTGATAAATTTTTTGAAGGTATGGAGGATGTGACTTACTGTGTAGATTTTTTGCAGGTCAGACACAAGATTTGTTAATTTCAAGAATATTGAAGTAATAAATAAATGTTCCATAAATGAAATTGTTGACCTTGTACTGTAGTAAGGTGTCACCATCAGAAGAAAGGCAGTCAATTTATCTTATTTGTAAAGGCTCACATTAGATGTGCAGTCATTTTACACTGATATGTTTGTTTTTGTGGTTTGAATCTTAAGCTCCCTGATGTCTTTTGGTACAGAAGCAAATGTGTATAATGGTCCTCTTGTGCTGGGTTATTTAAACTAATCCAACAGTTTTCAAATATTTTTCAGATAAACTAAGTTAGGCAAAGTAATTTAGGTTGGATTGGGTCTTTTTACATTTATTGCTTCAGAAGAAGTTTAGAGTTGAAACAGGAAAAGCAGACAAGATACTCACATTTCATTCTTGGCTTGGATAAGAGTTGTTTTTGAAGCAATGAACAAAACACCGGTACAGTATCTCTTACATAGCTAATTTACCTGTGCAAGTTTGACTAAAACATTGAGAATTAGCTAACTTGAACATCTACCCTTTCACTTGTCAGCTTTCAATACATCTCTACACCTTTTATAAAAACATACAACATGAACTTACCAACATAACTTAACCTTACCTAGAATCATTAGGTTTTGTTGGTTGTGATGACTGCTTTTATAGGTGTTGTTGTGATGACCAACAAATACGATTAAAGGTTAGTGTAGCTCCACTGTCTCATTTCTTGTTACTTTTTTACACTATTTTTACTATTAAGTTTCTTATAATATTGAAAATCCTAGTTGGTGGCGAGCAAGGAAAAAGTGAATACGTACAGTTTAGATTTAGTATGGTAACAAGTGTACAGTATGTAGATTCAACTTGTGATCTGCAGGAGTGTGTGTGTAGTTTCCTAACTCCCCACCAGTCTTTTTTGTTATGTATGTAAAAGCATTAGTTAACATTTTAAACATTTTGATTAGCAATTACTGTACAGTACTTTATTTGTTTACCAACCCAATGTTCACAACTTAAGTTGAACCATTTGGAAATATAAAGGGTTCACTTTAGGATTCTAAAATGTACTGTGCAGTGCAAAATGATGCTTACATTTACAGTCTTATTACAGTAGGCTGCATTGGCCTCTTTCTCCCAAAGCAATGTACTGTATGAATTAACACCTATTGTATAGTACTGGTATAATATATTTTCACAGCAGGCAGCAGAGCTTGAAGAATTAAAGCGGAAACTGCGTCGTAAAGAACACAAACTCAAGAAATATAAACAAGCTAAAGAGGCAAAGAAGCATGTTAGAGATACACTGAGGCGACACAATGCAGCCGGTGACACACATGGTGAGTGTAGGTGTTGCACATAGAGTAGTGCGATCATAGGTTTGTTTCTGCTGTAAATTTTCTCGTGTATGTATATTTCAGACCTGGTCCTATTATAGTTTGGTGTCCCACAAGGATCAGTTTTGTGACCACTTCTGCATACAGTCTATACCAGTAGTCTTGCATCTCTGCTGGATGATCATGGTATTGCCTACCATTTCTGTGTCGATGATACACAACTTTATGTGAAAATAATAAATGTTGAGGAAATAATGAAATCCTTGATGTCTGATATTAAGATTTGGATGGCTAGGAGAACACTTTAAGCTGAATGATGACAACCGAGATTATCACCATCGAAGGAATTAGAAGGGGAGACAGCACAGATGATTTTGGCTCTTTAAACTTTGGTGAAGTACAACTCTGTCATGTTGAATCTGTTTGTAATATTGAAGTGTATTGTGACTCGAAACTGATTTTAGAGCGCATATAAATTCACTAGTTAAGAGTTGTAACTTTCATATTCAAAATCTACAGGAACCACTGTATATGCTGCTAAACAGTTTTTGGATAGACAGTGTCTTGTAACAGTATTACATTCACTTATTTTTGGGGGTTGACTATTGTAACTCTTTATGAGTCTGCCTACCTGATTATCTACTGAAGAAAGTTCAAACGGTGTTGATCAGGGTTGCCAGGATTATTTTTACTTTTCCACTGAAAATTCCCACTACCCCTCTTAATCGAATTACATTGGCTTCCAAATACAGCTAGGATTAAGTTCAAACTCTGTCTAATGACTTTTAAGAGACTAATATTTGGTGAGCCTAAGTACTTGGCCAACCTACTACTGTAATTCCACTGACTACACATTACGAAATGATTTTGCATAGTAGTGATGATCCCTCATGCCTTGAGGAGCCTAGAGCAGTATGGGAATGTTCTTTTGCTGCTCGATCCTTTTTCTATACAGTACCCAGATTGTACAATCAGTTGCCTGCATCCATGGAGCAGCTGACTTCTGTGGAGGCCTTTAAGAAAATTATGATCCTGGAGGATTACAGGGCTTATGAAGTATTAAATCTTAAGGGATTATTAATTATAAAAGTTAAACTGCCACTTTTTGTTATCTTTTATTGTAGTACAGTATTTCTTTTTATATATATTTTCAAGTCTTTCACATGTCTACGTAGTGTTTTGAGCACTAGTGAATTCCTTAGGAAAACTGATGATGCTTTTGAGAAACAAAAGACCAGCTATTATTATTATTGTTATTATTATTAAGTATTATTATTTTTTTATTATTATTATTATTAAGTATTATTATTATTATTGTTATTATTATTATTATTATTATTATTATTATTATTATTATTATTATTATTATTATTACAGGTACTACTGTATTATCTCCAGATGTTGGCAGGGGTTATAGGAATGTGTGTGTGTCAATGTCTGTAATTATTATTTGTCTGTATAGTGAGGTTTTTGAAATCAACTCGTTCAGCACTTTCTAGTGAAATTTTGTCAAAGTTGGTTCAAATGGATTAAATGGATGGGTGATGTACAGTTGACACCACTCCTGCATTTACCACTTAAGCATTGCCTAGCCTCTCTCCCTGAAGCATTGCCTATCCTCTCTCCCCGAGGTGTAAACCCCGAACTCTGAAGTGTGAATTCGAAGCATTTGCAAGTGAGGGAAGGGGGAGGGGAAGGGTGTCAGGCTCGGTGTCTTTCTATGGGGGTGAGATGGAGTACAAGGGGGTGAGGAGGGAAAGTGTATATCAGTAAGAAGAGATTACAGTGCAGGACAATGCTTTGACAATACCGATTTGGTTTTCCTCAGCTGAGTGTAATCGTCTAGTACTAGCCAGAAAAAAAATAGATAAGATGTCATCATACTGAAGGAATTAATTTCCAATAAAATCAATCAGGTAGTGGGCACCACATATTTATTGTAATAAAAACTTAATGTGAACAAAAAGTATACTCCCCACACCCCCTCCCTTCTCCCTCTCTCTCACTAGTGAATGCTTCAAATTCACATTTCACAGTTCAGGATTCACATCTCAGGGAGAGAGGACTGGCCACACTACGTGGTAAATGCGGGAGTGGAGCCAAATGTACATGTATCAAGTTGAAACTTGGTATACTGATATGGATCATATTGGATGTTTGCTTTTTTCCTTCTTTCACTGTCCCATCTGAATAATTTGGATTGTTTTCATCAGTGTTGGAACAGCATGTATAAATATGTCGATTGGTAAATAATACTTTATATTTCCCAGGTAATAATAGATGAAAAGCCTTGTTTGTTTTTCTCATTATTCTAATATTTGAACCTTCTTGTTACAGATGATCTGTGCAGTGACTCTATAAAAACTGATGCAGCAGAAAGGGATCTGATGTCCAGCATGTCAAGAATGGTCACATTTAGTGAAAAATCCCCAGAGGTTATTAATGTCTCTCCTACACCACAGTTTGAGGGGAAGATAATAGACAAAACACATAAATCTAACAGGTCACTCTCAATTCAGTCTGAAGTATTGATGAAAGAGACTGATCCAGGACCTTCATCTAGTGGCATTAGCATTGAAAAGCTTACTGACACAGCTGAAACAGACACTGATGTACAGCACGGGAAACCCTCACCCAAAATTTCTAAAACTGGTAATGATAGTTCTGAAATCCGTTCTTTGTCTGAAATGGTCAGTCACAAAGACAACAATAGCATTTATTTTCCTGAACAAAATTCCCTTGTTTCTGACAAGAGAAAAATAGTTGTGGGTGAATCAAATAATAATAATGAAATTGTTGATTTGATTTTATCTGAAAAACAATGTTATGCCACTTTTGATACTTCAACAAATTTCCCTCAAACAGATGACGAAACTCTTCCTTCTAATCCTTGTTGTGGGCATGAAGTGACCAGCTGTGAGGTTTATGTCCAGACTCAAGATTCACTTTACATGCCTAGCAGTACTGTTGTTAACTGGATTGAAAATGTGAGTGGTACACTTAAGCCAGGAGACACGAATGCTACTTCTAACAGTTTGCCTGCAAATGAACACAAAATGAAAGCTTCAGGAACATGTTCTAATTCCTTAGTCCATAAAAGTCTTGATAGTAACACAAAACATGTACAGCAAGAATACAAAGTTCAAAAGTCAATTGAAATATGGTCTCAGGACCTCTTTGATTCTGAGGCCTTGCCCCTGACTAGAAACATTGAGATAAAACGAAGCTGCATCTCTTATAGAGAACGATGGAAAAAACGCAGAACTTCTCAGAATAGTAATTCAGGAGGATCAGGAAGTGGGTCAGGTAATCAAACAGAACTAAAGGATAGAAGACTCAATGATACTGTGAGAGAAAATACTGTTAGCCCAGTTTCTTGTGAGCCTCTGAAACACCCAGAGATGCATGCAGGTCCTGGTAACAAGGAACATCTTACTGAAGAAATATTGATTGAGGAAATAGAACAAGAAATGATGAAGGAATTTTATTGTGAAATATTTGAACAAGAGAAAAGATCAGATTGTGAAATAACTGAAGCGGATATGATGGAAGTGAGCGATGAAGGAGGAGGAAAAACATTTCACGAGAAAAACGACTTGACCACTCTAAACACAGTAGATGAAATGGAGTCTGAATGTAAAAAAGATAAATTAAAGAAGGATAGAGACAAAGATGTAAAACAAGAGAATGGGAGATTGGCTAAAGTGCATTCTTGGGAGGGAGAACAAATCCAGTCCAAGTTCTTAGAGAATTCAGTCAATGGACTCTGTGCAAAAGATATTTATAAGAAGAATCTTGACAAAGATAGTGTTCTTGTATCATTTTGTGAACCAGATGTTAAGATCGAGCAGCAACCTAAGGCTTCTCATGTTCCCAGAGATTGTAATATCATAGATGATGAGAAAGATACTTTATTAGATTTTGTTCAGGACACTCCAGAAAAATTAAGTGATGCAACTCAAATGGAGAAAAGAAGAAAGAATGATTTTACAATGGATTTAGGGTTTGAAAAAATAGTGAGGGGAAATGAGATTGAGGAATGCTTAAGCAACACTGAATCAAATAAACAAGCAGTAAATAGTAATGAAAAGGAAGATGCCATTAGTTCTGCTGAAACACTGTTGATGAAACCAGTCAAGTTTACAGGTGAAGGAAATACGAGGTTTCACAATTTGTCAGCCAATGAGAAGCACGGGAAAGTTCTCACCTCTTCTCTTATTACCTTACGCGGTGGAAGTGAGCAGTGTATCCTCATAGTGCAGGAGTTTGGCTTTTCTCTGTGGAATAGAGTTAGACAGGACAGGGTAAAATTAAATCATCACATTGTCGACAAGGGTAGCATTAACGGGAAGCAAAGTTCAAAAGGAGAAGGCTTAAGAGAAGAGAAGTGGGAAACAGTAGATGATGCCTCACACCATATTGGAAGAGCTTCTGATGTAAGGTAAAAATTTGCAAGTACCTGTACCTGTAGTGTAGAACATAACCTTGTAAATGATACAGATAATGAATGAATTAATCTGTAGGATACAAATTACTGTAGTCATCATAATCAAAACTACCATGTGTTGAATTTGAGAAACTGGCCAACACTCCCGTCCTTGGTTCTTTTCTCATCTTGTAGGTCAAATGACCCTAATCAAACCATCAAGCTTGGGACCCATTAACAACAGTGGGAACAGTATCTATTTTACCAGTCATTCTTTTCTCAAATATCATGAGGATTAGGAACCTCCCAGCTTAAGTCACCTTATAATTAAACACCATGATGTTAAATAAGGGGAAGCGAGTTAATTTAGGTTATGAATAGGTTAGGTTAACATTAGGGTGTTTATTGTGTAATCATCAGGTGGAATAAGAGTGTTTCCTAATCATCATGAGATCTGTATACCCTGAAGCTCCATGTGGTGGAATGGCACAATGCAGACCTTCCCCTCTTCTTCATTTTAGTGGGATTTTTTTCTTTTCTGTTTACTACAGTTGTTTATTTCCTCTAGGTATTTGTGCCATGGTGAAATTTATTCTTCTTTTCTTCACCTGTCATTCTTTTAGAGATAATCTTGATTCTTTCCCATTACTCTCACATTTACTGAAGACCTCATCCCTTCCTTACCTCTACACTTGCTGAGCTAATTTGTAAATGTGCGGATCTAATTATTACACTTGCTGAGGTAATTCGTAGATGTGTGCGGGTTTAATTATTACACTTGCTGAGGTAATTCGTAGATGTGTGGGTTTAATTATTACACTTGCTGAGGTAATTCGTAGATGTGTGGGTCTAATTATTACACTTGCTGAGGTAATTTGTAGACATGTTGATCTAATTCTTAATTACATTTGCCAAGGTAATTAATATTTATTTACCTTGACTTTACCGATGTTCTATTGTCTGTATAAAGCTTTCAGATTCTTCATGTAAATTCACCTTCAAGCGCCTTACAAGTCTTGTTTGATGCTCTCCTAATTATTCTTTGGGCCATAGTCTTAACATCTTTCTGTACCTTTAATTAAGAACTTGTGCAATGGTTGACCTTGGGTGTAATGTGACAATGCCCTCACCCCATGTTACACCGAGGATAAAAAGGTTAACTAATAATGCTCCTCTCGAGTGTTGGGATGTGTCATTTAACATTATAATTGTGCCTATATGCTGTAGGGTTATACAGTGTAAGACTAACATTACCCTTATTTTACTGTAGAAATATATACCGTAGTGTATCAGTACTGTCGCTCCTCTTTTACTACATGGTTAAGTGAGACTAATATTGCCCCTCTTTACTGTAGGGATATTGTAGCAGTGGGACTACCATCAGATGAGGAGGCTAGATACTTGGTGGCCGTAACTAAACTGACAGAAAAGGATGTGTGGATACTGTATGTCCAGTTCAGCCACAAGGAGAAGTGGCAGGTTATAGAAAATAGACTTGACCTTTCGCTTTGGTAAGATGTTAGCAATAATTTTTTTAGGAAATTTCAAATTGTAAGTCTTTTTTCCATCTATATAAAGAGTTTCATGATTCTTCATAAGACAATCAGTCTACTCAGTAACTCATGGATTCCATTTACTTCCCAAACCTTTATCAGTGATATAATTATTGCTTTTATTGAGGTTTATGTTACTTATTCACTGTTCTGTTATCTGCTCTTTGTACACTTGCTGCCACTCTATCTCCAACCCCATGTGTTCAAGCTTCAGTGTCACATTTTGTGAGATTTTTCTCTGGCAATACATAGCTCCTGTACACTTCTTTTCTGCCAACCTCCCATGGGATGAAGCAGAATCTACAGATTGTTAAAGCACCTCTTTTCCTATAATAAGTCACCCTCTTAAACTATTTCACAATGTAATCCAACATCAATTTTTGCCTGACTCCAAGAAATAATTAATTTTTTCAGTAATACATACAAGAATTTAGGCATCTGTGCTCTCAGTGAATGGAGTGTTGCTATTGCTTGGTCTTCCATGGAACCTTCTACTGCCGGGTGTTTTGTAGTCATGGACATAGATGTGACATATTCTAGACGCAGTAAACAGTGGGAGCTAAAATGCCACTCGTCAACTCGATCACCCTTTTGGGAAGAACCCGTGGATAGTCTTATTGCTCTTCATCAACCAGGTTAGTGAGTAAATTATTTTATGAAACATTCAAATACAGTACAGTAATTTAATTTGATAGATATGAATATTCTCTTCTCTTGACTTCACACCAGTGTCTCCGTCAGGGAACATTCCGGCAGGAATCTCACTAGTGCCCCTGACATTTCATCTTGGGCATTTGATAGGATTTCCTAATTCAATACATTATTCCCTTTATTTTATATAATTTCCTGAGTTTTCCTTAAGTTAGACTTCCTAATTTTCATTATTTTTTCTTTTGCACTGCACTATGGTCATTGTCCAGGTTAGGAAACTTGTACAGTAGAAAGTTTCCTGCACTGCTATGTCTTTCATATTATTATACTTGTCAGGATAAATTATGATTAATTTTCCTTTTATTTAATCAAAATAAGCAATTTTAGAATAAATTCCTTAAGTTTCTGAGTCTCTCCATCAGTTGGCCAAAGGTTTTACTTCTTCCATGTTATTGATTTGAGTTTTGGTAATATTTTCTACACAGTTTCTGTCTTCAAGTATCAAAGTTATAATCTGCTTTTACTTGACGGCTGCATGACCTGTGGAAACAGATCTTCATCCATTTATAGAACACATCCGGTTATAAAGCAAGTGGTTACCGTATTTTATGGCATATAAGACGCACTTTTTTGTGTGGAAATGGCAAAAAATCAGCTTACTTAAACACATTAGTGTATTATTATTCTTTATTAATTAAAAAATATAATTATTGTAAATGTAAAAGGTCGATTTGTAACTACTCTGTACTGTACTGATGACGTTAACCTGAGACGATTAACATCTACACAGCAGACACCCAACTCTTCACAGGTAGCTAAGCAGTAACCATTTCTGAACTCTTACAAGCATTATTATCTATTAATGCCATACCTGCAACAATTATTTTTCAATCTATTGTACAAATATCTGATACAAGTGAAGATTCACAGATAACTTTCTTTTCACATTTACATCTGTTTACATCGCTGGCGGCATTGTAGCCAGGTTAGACTTATCTCTGTAACCACCAGGCTACTGGGCTAAGCTTTTGTTTTCAACTCGTATTTTCAGGTAGATATACGTAAATTTCTTCATTTATTTTTTACTGATATACTATACATGCACACACCATCCTACATGCACATTGTGAAAAAAAGTAAAAGAAATAATTGTCCTAAGGGTAAACACATAAAAGGAATATATATTTCTTTGCACACAAGTTAGCTGGCTAAGTGAGGGAGCGGCAGGACGTCTGGGGGGAGCGTTGCAGGGGAATCGGCGGAGGTAGCATTACCGTTGCTATGGCAAACAGGGAGGACAGATGTACATGCAAATGGCGACTGTGTTAAACATTCATTTGTCTTTTATTTACCGGTTTGGCAATGCAGCATTTTTTTTTTGTAACTTATTGGTATTATTATTTTTTATTCCTCACATTTACTGGTACTCGGTATATTATTTGAATAAACTATGGCCGTAGGAGGAAAATACTTTTTTTTTATCCTAAATATTCCCTGCTCATATGGCCATGCATCTTATATGCTATTAACTATGCTAAATGGTGGTGCTATACATATTCAGAATTCTGTAATTGTAAATTGTAGATTCCAGTAGCATATTGTTTACTCTGAACATGATTAATATTTTCTAGAATGACTTGGATTTAAGTTTTGATTCCGATCTTTTCAATGTAGGAAATATTTTTTTTTATCACTACTTAAGCTGCTTTAATATTTTCCAATTTCCCATCTTAACAGCATAAGTTATGAAAATTGACAAAGGTTAGACCAGGATTCAGATTAGGATGGGGTTAAGTTAGGTTAGGATAAGTTAGTTACTCAGAACTACTGTACACTTGGTTCAGAACATGATGTTTTTTGTTTTTGTTTTTTTCACTTTGCAAAGTTATAATATGTTTATGTTGAAATTCTCTCTAATGATATACAGTAATGTATTATCTTTTAGGGTTTTATAAGGCATCAAGCACTCTTCCCTTTTTCCACTGTGAGCGTGATTCTGGAGAGACAGTACAGTATTTTAGATATTCCATTTAATATGTGGTACTATACACAGTACCTTATGATCTCTCTATGGCAAACCTCTTTACTGTGATGGAGAACAGTCAGGTGCTTTGTCTTTCAGCTTATTAGTGTCAGCCCGGCCACAGCACTTGACTGTCACTGGAGCTTCTGTAGCAGGTATATACAAGCTGGTGCTGATAAAATGGCTCACAGCATTGTCAATGATCTGTGTACATTGAACAGTCATATTTAATTTTCATATTAAAGTAAACCCAGCAAACTTCATATAATTCAAAAAAGAGCAGCTCTTTTGATCACAATAACATCTACTGTATTATATCTATGTTTTTTACATCTAATTTTATCTTGGTACAGATCCTAAAGGTGTTGTGTTGTGCTCTTCAAGGAATAGTCTGTATGTATATGATGCTATGGAAGATATCATCATTGAGAAAGTTCACTTGCAGGCTGCAGGACTTTCATGGGCTGTAGCTGTTGAGGTAAGCTACAACTGAGCTTTCATCATTCTTACAGCTTAACTTACTTACTTACAACAGTACAATGTCTTCAGTAATCTTACCCGATGGCTGGATTATTGCTCACTCCTCAGATTTTCACTGTTAGGTACTGGGCCATGCACAGGAGGATGATTGTATCTGAACACTCACTGGCAGAGCATTCACACTAGCTTACTGGGGATAATTCAGTATAGTGATTTAAAATTTATAACACCCTTGATTATTTAACAATCTACAATTGTTCAGTTTAGCAATCTTCAACTCACTGGGAATTGTCACAAGTGAGTAAATAAAAAAGTTATATTTGAATTCCATTTTTCTATTCACCTACCTATCCAGTACTGTATTATATAATCACGAGTCTTATAGAAAAAAGGTGGAAATAACAAAATTAAGTGGTGTAAAATAAATGCCGAGTGTGGTACTGTATGTCTCCCGGATCACTCAGAGTTCGTGGCAATGTTGTATTTTCAAGGCCGACGCTAAGCCACTTGGAAAGGGAGCTGCAAGATAAGACACTACTTATGAATCAGTCAACCTGAAATTTAGAAATCATTATCTTAGCTTTTCCAGCAAAAAACAGAAATAATTTCTTAGTAACCAGGGGGGGGGGTACATATCTAGGTTCATTAAACAGAAAGCATGTACTGTAAAGATATGCCAGTTACCTACCCAGGTCATTACTACACTAGTGTTTACCCTGCCTTTGAACATTGCAATATGTGCTTTACTATCCAGTATTGCTCTGTACATTATCAGTCGCTGTGCATTGTTTGTTTCTATTGTTGTGCATTGCTGTTATTATTGTGACTGGTGTGTTATTGAGTACTGTACGGACTGTTCCCTCCTCCTCCACTCTTGTCGGCTAACAAGCAGACCAGGTAAGAACTGTTTACTGTACAGGCATTCCCTTTATGATGTTGACCTTATGAGAATTTATTTTGTTTTGTTTGCACATTCGGTATGAACAAATATGTGTGCATGTAAAAGATTACTACAAGAAAATGAAGAAAATACGAATATCTACCCATACTTACGAGTCGAAGAATAACGTACCTCACAGCTCAGCCTCACCCACTCTGAGTGCTATTGAGTGGTGAGTCAGCCAGGCAACTCCACTACACAATTATGTGCCATCTTCATGAATATTATTCCTCGTTATCCCTTTTTTTAGATATTATTTCTCGTTTCTGTTCGCTCAGTGATCAAATCATTTAGCGATCTGTTTTTCAGGAATGCATCCCAATTGCTAAACGATGCATCCCGGTACAGGTATTTCACTTTGGCTACATGTGCTGGTGACTGGTTAAGTGGGCCCAGTCTTATTAAGGACCTGTCCATAAAGATTTAGTTCGAGGTTTGGTTATGTTAGGACTTCCTAGGACTTGACCCCAAGTAATCAACAACTAATGCCATATGTTTAACATTCGCTGCATTTCTACAAAATATGCCAGTAAAGTCAAATAGGAAAATTGTGATTGGTTCTGTGAGCTGATAAAACTGTGGATATTGGACGGGAAAAATCTGGTCTACTTTAGCAATTAAATGGGATTGAGTTGGACAGATTTACTTCATGTGAAATTGTGAGCATCACTTTTGTTATTGTTGAGTTGTGTGTCACCTAAATCAGGGCCTGTCCATTGTGTGTAAAAGTCTTTTTATTTAACATTTCAGGACTTGGTGTTTCTCATAGGTATGGACATCATCACAAGTCAGCTATATGTGTTGGTTCTAAACCCCATTAATGGCTTGTTCGAGACCTTCTCAAAGTCCTTGCCCAATAACCTAAGGTAAATGTTATCATATGGTACTTTGGCACCTGTTCCCCCCATCTTCTTTATGCTCATATTTTGCATGCTTTCACCATTTGTTTTAACTTTTCTTTTAATATCCATATACTGTACTCCTCCCATCTTTTATCACCTCTTAATTGTAAATTATGCCTATACAGTATTCCCTTCTTTACGCCTAACCATTATTACAATACAGTACAGCGCAGTGCATGTTTTTTGTCAAATATAAGGTAGACTAAGTTTTTACTCTTTTTTTTTTCTAGATGCATCGATTGCACTACATTATTCATATTTAAACAGGATGGAGGAGACTGAGTATACTACACATTGAAACTAAAAACATTAAGTGAAATAATAATTACTATATCATGATGTCTTACTCTGGTTGCCTCACTGTTAGCTACCACACATACTGTACTAGGAATAAGTGATGTGGTCCATCACAGTACCACTCTTGGCCACTAGGAGCATTATTCTCAAAGGAGGTGTGATTAGAGCCTGTGTTTACCCAGTTAGTACACACACACTCACCCATTTATATCCACCATGATTCCAGGACCAATCAGCCATCTGTGATCACACTCATTCCCTAGCCAACAACCATTAAGAGTAGTCACACTTGCTTTGCTCTTTCTTGGTAGGCTTTATTTTTTACAAAATCTAACTTACTTGGGCTATTTTGACACCTCAGAGAAATAGTGAACAAAACCATACTAGGAGACATGTACAGTTGCCTCCACATGATTGTATCATAGCCTGGGAGTGTGTGAGGGCTTTGGGTACGAGATGTGGCTGTTATGAAAATGAAGGTAAACACTGGGAGGTTTTATTCAACATCAGTATCCATAGATCTGTAATAAACAGAATAAACAGGAATTACAAATTAAGAATGATTAAGCTTCAAGTAACAGATTGGCTTAACACAAATAAACATAACAATACATAACACAAGAAATATGAGAGAACTTTGAACAATATAATCTAGAGCATTTAACCAACTAAGCATAACACATCAGTGGCAATGCAGCACTGTAGTCAGGGCTGAATGAATGGGCGTGAAACAGTGAAATTACTCTGTTTGCAATAAGATGTAGTATTGTTGTGTAGCCGCGACTGAGTGACTAGGACTGAGCTACAGGGAACAGGCAAACGGTAATCCACACTTTCATGCCCAGGACTATGGCACTGCAATGCCACGTCTCGTACCTATGCCCTCACACATTCCCAAGATGTGGTACGTTTATGTGGAGGCAACTGTACACTCATCTGTGGCTGGATGTGGTGTTGGAGCACTTTGCTGACTCTTTCAGTATAGGACAAGGCCACAACCAAATCTGCAATACTGCACAGATCTTACTAAAATTTATAAGCTTTGAAAATTCTCAGGGATATTTCATTACTTTACTAATTTTATAGATATTCCCACAGTTACTGTTCTGATGAGCTGTACTTCATACTGCCATCAGAGGTGTCTTTATATGAGAGCATCTAGGAGGGCCCTGGCTATTTCTTTTGAAATTCCATTTTGCAAAAGTGTTGCACACAAAAACTTTTGGAAACCCCGTACTGTACTAACCTTTTTGTAACTCCCTACCACAAAATATTTTCCTTGTGTCATATAACCTAGATTTATTCAAAACTTCTTGCATCAAATATCTTCAGTTTTGTATAATACAGGTGCTCCTCTACTTAACAACGTTCAACTTACAGACTTTCATAGATACAAACATCATCACTGAGGGGGGTTACCTGCCAGAACAGGTGTTTAATGTGGATGAGACTGGATTATTTTGAAGAAAATTCCAGAAACATTACCTCAGAGGAGAAGAGTGAGCCGGGTTTTAAGGCGGTATTAAAGGGTATAGCTGTACTAAATATCCATAATCTTTTCATTTTTTACAATATGTTTGGTATCTACAAGAGTAAAGTTGGACTTACAAACAAGCCTCAGGAACGTAACTCGTTCGTAAGTAGAGGAGCACCTGTACAGTAAATAGATTTGATAGTGTCACCCTGTACTTCATTTTGTTAGAAAATGGTTTGTTTTTGTTAATTTAATTTTAGAGTTGTTAAGGGTATTTCATTTTACTTCTCTTCCCATACAGAATAGCCTGAATGGGTTTTTCCTGTATACAGTCTATGTACACTTTCCAATTTCCTTTCTCTAATCACTAGGGCCTGTAGCTCTGTTGCCAATGTTTCTATTTTTGTATTTTACTGCTTGCAGATTTAGTTAGAATATTGTTATCTTTTTTAATTTAGTTATAAAAATGGTAATAAACTTACACCTTGCATTACTTTATCTTGTAAACCACAGTACTCTACGTACTACCTGTACTATATTAATACTGTACTGGACTGTACAGTACATGTATATTGAAAGTTTCCCTTTACCACATACTGTACATTAAATCTTTTAAATATTTGTATTCTAAAACAGTCCCTCTGTTTTGAGACTACAAGATATATTTTTTAAGTAATTTAAAAAAAAAACCATTAATGCTGTCCCTCTTTATAGAATAATAAAACTTTTAAAACTAATATTGTAGGTATTGTGTATTGATAATGATGTAGTTAATGTTCCTTCATTTTTAGCACTAAAGCATTGCTTATACTTGTGATTTTCAGGATGGCTGATAACATCAGTTGGGAGTCAACATCAAATTTTAGCAGAAATGGTAGAGTAACAGGTGTCTGTCTAGAGTCTCAGGAGCTTATCATTGTATTTGATGCTGGGACAGTGATACACATGTCCTTTGATGCCTTTAGAGAAGAAAATGTATTTGCCAGAAGATGAATACATTGATGAAATTTTTTTACAGCAGTTACATACTGTACAGTATTTATTTGTACTTAAGGTTATTGGTTCCTGCAAGTCAATTAAGACACAATTTGGGCAACTTTTACTTTACTATTTAAATTACATACAGTCCCGTGTTATGAACACCGATACTTACTACGGGGTTCCCAATACTGTATATTCTTCAAAAAAATCTGTAATTAATATACTATTTATTACATTATGTACTTTATATTGTTTATATTATTTATTACATTATGTACTTTATATTGTTTAACAACACATTATTTACAATATAGTATTTACATTACCTATTTGTTATGTATGGGCTACAGTATTATTGTTGTTTTGTGTGGGCAGGGTTGTGTTTTAACAACACCTAACCGATAGAATTAACACTTCTGACTTATGAACAGGGTCCAGGAACATAACCTGTTCATAACTCGAGGACTGTCTGTACTGTATACAGGTTGAACCTCATTAATCCGGGAAGCTTGGTGTAATGAATGATTATCACACCATAGCTTACAGCCCAGAGAATTACAACACATATAACAGTAACTGTACGTACGTGGTATCACCACATACCAGGTTGACACACCCTGGGTCAGGACCCAAGGGACCTGACCTTGTCCGCTAATTACTTGAGGTGGTGGGTGACTTGACCTACAACCACACCTAACCAAGACACACCTGGGCATGACCACACCTGGACACAGCTGTCCAGATCTAACCAGTTTAGTGTTAATTGGCAGAGGTCAAAATGCCGGCTGTTGAACCCCTATATAAAGGCCCTGCAGTCCCGTTCACGGTCTCATTCAAGCTTCATTGTCATTCTGTCAGTCTGATTACTGTCATCTCTTTCCCGTTCGGGTCGTCATTCTGTTCACTCGCAGAGAGTCACGCTCGTCCCCTCCCCAGGTCGGGAGGGAGACTCTCTAACCAGACCCTGGCGTCACCAACTAAGCAGAGTCTCGCATATGAGACAGCCTAGCAGCACCCACTGGGCCTCCGCCAGGTCAAACGTGAGTCTTGTCAGAACTATCCCTAGGGTGAGTTACCTACTGTGGGAAGTGTATTCCTTTCATGTTTGTGTCCGAGTCAGTGTCGAGTAACGTAACCCCGATATAATATTGATATTAATGTATCCATGTCATTGAGTGAATTAAAAAATAGTTGTATCGAAGTGGTGTTGAGAAGTTGTCCCTTAAGAACGTATAAGATAAGCGTATTGACAGTGCAAATAACTAATCGGCCACGCTACCAAACTTCCCCTCTTTACATCCTACTACTAAATATTCTCTCTATACGTCCTACCTCAAAAAACCCCCCATTACATTGGGACCAGACTGGCTCCGGATTATCGAAAATTCTGAACCATCAAAGCCGAGGTTAAAAGAAGGCACACAAGGCTTTGACCGATGTACCACTGTCTAATGTATAGACACCTTTTCTAAAATAGTTAGTCACATGCTTATGTTTCACCACATTACGACCATTTCCACTGCTTGCTGGTTTCTTAGGAGGCATATTTAGGGGTAAATTATAAGTATTTAAAGGTAAAATAGTGGCAACAGCCACTAGGAGTGAGCTATGACATCTACCCTAACCATCGAAGCTGCTGGACTCGGGTCCCAGATTAGCGGGGTCCAACCTGTATTATAAAATGAGAAATGCCTGATAAGCTTAAAATTTGTATACGTACTCTATATTGATGTGTACATAAACTTCATTAACTCATTGGTTACCACTTGCTCTAATAACACCATTTAACATGCAATACTGCAGAATCTGGCTCAGCCACAGGATGAAGTATGAAACACAAACATTGATTAATGAACACAAGCATTCATTTTTTTTTTTACATAGCTTTAAAAAATGCCTAAGATTATGGTTAATGGAAATGTACATATGTGAATACTTTTATTTTCTTTAAAAAAGGAGAAGCTATTTTTTTTATTGTTTACAAAACTATATTTCTTTCTGTTGTCATTGTCAAATTATGTTTTTTATATTCAATTTTAATTTGTTTTATTCCATGAATGGTATTATCATGAGTGTGTTTTATTATTCCTTTATAAATTTATATATACTGTACAGCATTTGAAGTTGCAGTCTATATAGCAGTAAGCACATATTCTAGGAGAATTATTTGTTGTTGCGCCACTGTTTCACACGGCTGCATAGATGATGAACAGTAGTGGACAAAAAAAATATGGCTGGGAGGGAGGGAGGGAAGTGATATATGGGAGGGTAGGGGTTCAGGTGGTTTTGTTTGTGGTTTACTTGCAGCATTGTTCTGTGTGAGGGACAACAAGACAACTACATTTTCTATGTGTCATATTTAAGGATCCATAACATGTTGGGATTGGAGACGAACTAGGAAACAGTGATCATAAAGCCATATATTTTAACATAATATGGGATGGCAGGAAGAAGGAAAATTCGGCCTTGATCCCGGATTTTAGGAAGGCTAATTACGGTAGCTTAAGGAGAGACCTAAGGGATGACCCTATGGTCAAAAGATTAATCCCCCCCACACCTCCGGAAACTGTCAACTTAGGACGGGATAACCCCGAATGTATTAATGAGAGTGAATTTGATGTGAAACCCCCTAGGTTTTTGTAATAATTTATTCACAGATGTCTTGTGTACAGCAGTATAGCATGATACAGATGGCTGACACACGTGCAATGAGACAGGGACCGTGTACGACCGAATGAGATAAAGGCAATTACAGGGGCGAGGGAGTTTCACATCAAATTCACTCTCACTAATACCACTTATGCCAAATGTACAGTTAGCCCTCACTTCGTGGTTAAGCGCAACCGGAGAAGTACTACGTGAAAGCGAAGCAGCGTAAATTGAATATATAACTCACTTTGTGACACATAACTATATTTGTAGTAAAATAACATCTTAATTTTGTGATGGTACATACACACAATTAATACTTAAGAAATGAAATACGATGCATGAAGTGTGTCCATTCAAATAATGGACTGACTCCTCCCCTCTCACACTACACTGCGGTTCTTCCCTCTCTGAGAAATATTTGGGGAAAACCAGGTATGGTAATAAATAATACCCCATGACTAAGTTAGGATAATATAATTGACATTGCTGGATTCCTTGTAAGACCAGGAATATTTTGAATATAAATGTCATATAATTTTCACAAAAGATAACATACTTACTCAGATTAAACATTTTATCTAAAAATTTTATGTCTAATGCAAAATATATGATGTTTATATTCAAAATGATCACCAAATTGTAAGAATTCCAGCAATGTAAATTATATTCTGGCCGGGTAATTTGTATGAATTTTATGAGCTAAAACAAATATCTTCAGTTAATAAAAAAAAAAATATTCTTCACGACACTATCTGTCAATCAAAGTACCCCACCTTGCCTCCTCCCCCTCTTCCAACCGCGCGGTCAGTCCCAACCCTCCCCCCCACCCCCCACCAATCCTCCCTTCAAGAGATGTTGGGTGAAAAATTTAGATTTTAACATTTTGTATTAAATAATACCTCAGATTAAAGTTAGGATAATATAATTGACATTGCTGGATTCCTTGTAAAACCAGGAATATTTTGAATATAAACGTCATATATTTTACACAAAACATAACATACTCAGATTAAGCATTTTATCTAAAAATTTTATGTCTAATGCAAAATATATGATGTTTATATTCAAAATGATCACCAAATTGTAAGAATTCCAGCAATGTAAATTATATTCTGGCCGGGTAATTTGTATGAATTTTATGAGCTAAAATAAAAATCTTCAGTTAATAAAAAAAAAATTCTTCACACGGTAACAGATGGTCGGTCGCCGGTCCCTCCCTCCCTTCCCCCCACCCCCCACCAACGTCCCTACTAGATAAATGTGTGGGAATACCAGACTGTTTACCTTTTTAGTAATAAATAATAAATCAGACTAAAGTTAGGATAATATAATTGACATTGCTGGATTCCTTGTAAGACCAGGAATATTTTGAATATAAATATCATATATTTTGCACAAAAGATAACATATTTACTCAAGAGTAAACATTATATCTAAAATTTGTATGTCTAATGCAAAATCTATGATGTTTATATTCAAAATGATCATCAAATTGTAAGAATTCCAGCAATGTAAATTATATTCTGGCCGGATAATTTGTATGAATTTTATGAGCTAAATTAAAAAAATTATACTTCACCCGTGTAAAGGGGTACACCCACCGCGGAATGTGAGCATCCTGGGTTCTGGCAGGGCACCATAAAGTGAGGGTTGACTATTGTGTAACCAGTGCCGGATTTAGACCTGTGGAGGCCCATGGGCAGCCTCTTTGTGGAGGCCCCCCTCATTATAACTACACAAGAGGGTGGGGTGGCGAGTGAAGCGAGCCTAAACATCTGGGAGTTCCGGGGGGCGCTGTAAGCCCCCCGGGAAAATTTGAACACATCTTTGGAGAATTTTGAAGCCATATGCAGTTATATTGAGGAAATTAGAATATTGAGAAATTTTTAATTAACTGTATATTTATTGATAGTGTACAAATTCCCAACACACACACACACACAAAAGTGAGACATGACTGGAGTCATTCATGTGGTTTCAAGTCGACCAGCCCTGATATAGCTACTACCGCACATGTGGAGGCCCGTGGGCAGCTGCCCACTTTGCCCACCCCTGAATCCGGCCCTGATTGTAACATAGAAACTATGCAGAATCTGAAGTTTTACCATAGAGACATTGTGGTTTAGAATTATCCAAGGATTTCATCATCCAATTTAATGTACTCTTTGCGGAATCACCCTACGGCGCATCACCCGCTCCTGTCTGGCCGCGCTATGCCCTCACTCGCGGAACATCACAGCGTCCCCAAGCGACACCAAGCCAGTCTCTGTTATGACTTCACATCATTCATGCATGCTTAAGTGTTTTTGCTCTAAAACTGTACTCTAACCATTCAAAACGGCTTCCAAGCGCCCATCAAGTACTGCTGATGCTAGTGTAGTGAAGAGGCAACGTAAGACCATTACCCTTGCTACGAAAATAGATGTATTAACCAGATTTGAAAAAGGGGAACGTGCTGTGGACATAGCCGCTGTGCTTGGTCTAACCCCCACAACGGTGCGTATTATCCGGACCAATGCTGACAAGATTAAGGTTTGTGCTGGAAGTGGTGCTTCTCTGAGTGCTACTAAGACAACTCGTACTAGAAGCACTGTGATAGAGAAGGTGGAAAAGATGCTGGCAATGTGGATGGAGGACCAGAATCAACTCAATGCCCTTGTGAGCCTTATGGTTATCCAGCATAAGGCCAGATCCTTGTTTGACGACTTAAAGGCAGAAGAGGGTGAAGGATCGAAGGAAGAAACCTTTTCAGCCAGCTGAGGGTGGTTTCAATGATTTAAGTATATCATTATAACTTCCACATCATTAAGATGACTAGTGAAGCTGCCAGTTCAGATACGGTTGCTGCCAAGACATTCCCACCAGAATTCAAAAGGATTATCCAGCAAGGCGGCTACTCACCGAAGCAAGTCTTCAAGGTGGATGAGTCTGGTCTCTTTTGGAAGAGGATGCCTGAGAGAACCTATATCTCCAAGGAGGAGAAAGGAGCCCCAGGTTTTAAAGCAGCAAAAGACCGCTTGACGCTGCTGCTTGGCGCGAACGCTGCCGTTGACTTAAAGCTGAAGCCTATGCTGATTTTTCGCGATGCTAACCCACGGGCCCTGAAAGGTTACTCTAAGGATCACCTTCCTGTCATTTACAAGGCAAACAAAAAGGCATGGGTAACCGGCGCCATATTTAGCCAGTGGTTAAACGTGTACGCCATCCCTGCATTGAAGGAATACTGTACCAAGGAGAACCTTAACTTCAAAATTCTTCTGATCCTTGACAATGCTCCAGCTCATCCTCCCAATCTCGACCACTTGCATGACTGTAAAAGTTGTATTCCTGCCTCCCAACACGACAGCACTGATGCAGCCGTTGGACCAAGGCGTCATCGCTGCATTCAAGGTGTACCATGGCCCAGCCGCTCAAGGCTACGGATGGAGAAAATAAACCATTGATCCGAGAATATTGGCCCGGCTTCAACATTCTTCATGCAATTAACAACTTTGGCAAGGCATGGGAAGAGGTTTCAGAAAGTTGCCTGAATGGTGTGTGGCGTAAACTGTGGCCCCGAGTGCATCAACAGTTTTGCAGGATTCACGGACTTAGTCCCAGCTGTGAATAAGGATATCCTCAGCTTAGCTAGACAGGCAGGCTTGATGAACTGGAATCAGGGGATATTGAGGGCGTCCTGGCATCCCATACAGAAGAGTTCACCAACGAAGATCTGCAACAATTAACAGAGTCGGCGTCCAAAACATTTATGGGCGGAGGTAAATGAACCCAAGTGTTGTGGTTTATACAGTAAGAAAACTGTCATTTTACACTGGCACCTGGGAGAGTTGAAAACAGCTTTGTTCCGACAGATGGCTGCCTTGTGTCACTGATGGCTGCGAGGAACCCAAGCTTGTTGGTGTCATTAAAAATGGCGTAGCAACACCGCCACTCTATATAAAAATCGTTTACTTACAAGTGAGTTCATTTATCACGTTAAAACCGGCAGTCTTGAGATGACTGACCAGAGCGGGCTTCTCAATTCACTTATTACATTTTTACCGAAACAGAAGCATGTAAGCTAGGATAGTATACCACACTACCCCACTATGGTACCATCCCTCCCAAAGAATGTACCACTCTCCCCCACTGTGGTACCATCCCTCCCAAAGAATGTACCACTCTCCCCAACTGTGGTACCATCCCTCCCAAAGAATGTACTACTCTCCCCCACTGTGGTACCATCCCTCCCAAAGAAAGTACTTCTCTCCCCCACTGTGGTACCATCCTCCCCAAGAAAGTACATCCTCCAGAATGTACTACTCTCCTCACTGTGGTACCATCCTCCCCAAAGAATGTGCTACTCTCCCCCACTATGGTACCATCCTCCCCAAAGAATGTGTACTACTCTCTACTGTGGTACCATCCCCTCATGAATGTACTTTCTCCCCACTGTGGTACCATCCCTCCCAAAGAATGCTTTCTCTCCCCACTGTGGTATCCTCCCAAAGAAAGTACTTCTCCTCCCCCAAGGCCATCCTCCAAAAGTGCCTCTACTGAATACCCACTGTGGTACCATCCTCCGAGAGAATCTACTCTCCCACTGTGGTACCATCCCCCCTAGAAAAGACGCCTTTGATGCCCTTGCCCTCATATGATTTCGAGAATGCAGAGCTCTCCATTCTGCGGCCAGACTTCCCCGAGGATTCAGTACTACTCCTCAGAGGTGAAAAAGAATCCAATGTTAAATGGATGTGGATTAAAACGCCGATGGGAATTTTCCTTAGAGCGGTTGTGGTGCTGATTATGGGGGGATTGTTGCTGCACAAACTAATCTGAGGGCCTCAACTTAGGCAACCTGGCCAAGGACAGTCGACAAAGCTGTCAACTTATTTACAGGAAGGTTCCCGCCTTATAACACTAACTCGTTATGCCTTGCCTCTCGTATATTTGATATTACTTTACCATTAACTTTTAGTTCATTATCACTTACAACTTCTCTCTTTAAGAATTCTGAATATATATTATACAATGTTGGAGATAGAACACAGCCTTGTCTTGCTCCCTGCTGCCTGTGAACCAATTAGTAAGTTTATTACTTACGAACAGTGTAGCCTCCTGTTGCCAATAAAGATTCTTTAAAATCTAATATCACCTTCATTAATTACTTTTTTTCCAAGATCTTTATAAATTCATTGTGCTTTACCTTATCAAAGCCTTTTGCTAAACCAACAGAGCAGATTTTGTACAAATTTCTTTGGATCTCTAAAGCCGTTTCACTCAAAATTCTCAAACCAAAAATAGCTTCTCTGATTCCTTTTCCCTTTCTAAATCAATTTTGCTCTTCAGATAACACACTGTCTATTGTAAACTTTATTCTACTTATAATTATGTTTTATAAAACTTTGCAGTCGTGACTTAGTGATTAATAAGGATTTACAGTAGTATTTACCGTGGTAACGATCTTCAAGAGTGAAGTGCTTCCCCATCTGGAGTACTGTCACCCAGTCTGGTCCTCGAGATATGCTAGGGACTGTCAGTTGGTTGAAAATGTTCAAAAGAGGGCCACCAGACTGGTGCCTGCCCTTCGGCACCTCAGCTACCCTGAAAGTTTTACTTTTTACTTTTTATCCTCTTCGCCACTGATCGGCTTGTTACTGCTTATGAGATCGGTCACGACTCTTTTCTTATATTCTTCAATAAAAGGTCGAAAGTTTGAACAGCCCACTGATCTTGGATTGTCTCACCTGCCTCAGGCTTTCCACCTGAGCGACTCACCAGCTCAGCAGACACTCAACTGAGTAGTGCCCCCTGAGATGCTTATAAACCTCAACTAGGTCCCCCCTTGCCCGTCTGTAGTATAAGCTAGGCAAGTTCAGGCGCTCCAATCTCGCAGGGTAGCTGAGATGCCGAAGTGCAGGCACCAGCTTGGTGGCCCTCCTTTGAACATTTTCAACCAACTGACAGTCCCTAGCATATCTCGGGGACCAGATGGGGTGACAGTACCCCAGATGGGGAAGCAAGGTGACCTGGCAGAGGTGGTAAGTATCCTACAAGTGTACCATTTTAGTTGAGTGTCCTTACTTGAGCTGGCGGACGCTCGTCCCACGGGAAGGAGTCAGCCGGGAAGATTGAAGAAGCCGCAAGTCCAGATAACTGTGAGGGCAAACTTTTTCGGAGTGAGAGTTGTGAACTCTTTGAACAATCTACCAGAAAGTGTTGTGACGGCACCGAGTGTGAGCTCTTTCTAATCAAGACTTGACCAACACTGGAGCGGGTTCAGGTACATTCAGGAGCCGGTGCATGCCCAGTACTTGCAAACAGTGCGTAACAGAGACGTGACCGATCGCCCAAGCGGCAAACGAGCCGATCAGTGGTGAAGAGGATAAAAAGGATAGGACTCGTAGCAACGGGTTTAAGTTGGATAAGTTTAGGTTTAGGAGGGAGATAGGAAGGAACTGGTTCACAAATAGGGTGGTGGACGAGTGGAACATGCTTAGCAACTTTGTAGTAAGTGCTGGAACGCTGGAAAGTTTTAAAAGGAGTCTAGATAGATTCATGGGTGATAGAGAGTGGTAGTAACTCGACAGGAGCTGCCACGCACAGGCCAACCGGCCTATTGCAGACTCCTTATTTTCTTATGTTCTTAACCTTTCACTTTATTTACCCGCTCCCACTGCAGTCTCCTCCACCCCCGTGCTCATATGTTCTCCTAGCAGTTTAAAGACTTCGACATCTTTTGAACTGCCCTTTCGAGAGAACCAGCCAGGGATGCCACCCCATCCCAAGACAGATGCATCCCATCCCAAGCATAAAGGTCCCTTCTGCCGTAGAAGTTGTCCCAGTTGTCAATGAATGGGATTGATATTGACTTGCAATATCCGTCAAGACGGCCGTTGACACCAACTGCCCTTGACAACCATCCATTGCCAACTCTCCTTCTAGGCAGGACACCACATATGACGGGGATCCCTTCCTTCGACCTAATACGTTCTATAGCTGTCTTGAACTTATCAAGAAGCTCCTCACTCCTACACCGGCCAATATCATTGTCTCCTGCACTGAGACAGATAATGGGTTTGTTCCCATTACCTGGACACACCACTGTATAAGTTTATGCTCAGAATAACTTTCATGTTCAGGTTGCGTAACCTAAACACAGCGAGCGAGGACGACCCTGAACGTTCGTATTGTACATGTTGCCCCAAAGCTTCTAGAACAGTGGCTATAAATTATTATTGCACCACGCCTTCGTTATTGTAGCAAGATATTTAAATATAACAGTTAAAGTGTGTTATGTGCGATATGAAAAGGCCAAAATATCTTCTGTATGAGCAAATGTGTTTATAAGACCGCGGCTCACTGACACTACTGTTGTGACTATCGAAACATTTTTTTTTTAGAAATTATGAGAGGATGAAACTTTGAGTAAGGAGAAAATGACATGTATGATGTAATTAAGCTTTGCGCATTATGGTCATCGATGCCATGTAAATTGATTGTCGCAGTTGCACTTCGTAGCCCAAGGAATTGTCCAGATGGAGCCAAGAATTTCATATTTCTTTATATATTCAAGTTAAAATAAGACAGAGGAATTATATAATGTAATAGGAGTGTAAATAAGCCTTTGTGCATTTTGACTGCCAATGCTAGATTGAGTAATTGGTCGACAGTCAATAACTATCATAAATATCTCCATTTTAATTAGTCAAACGTAAAAGTTTATATGACTGGCACTTTTGTAGAGTAACAACAAGATGTAAATAGGAATTATAAGTGAACTTTTGCACATTTTGACCGCCCAAGTTAGAATGAATAACTAGACAGCCTAAGGCATGAATTTAATATGGAACTCCCTATTGAATTAAAACTTGGGTCAAGGTGATGTGAGTGACACTTAAGTTGAGTTACAAGATGTAAATAAAGGAGTGCGCACTGCGGCCGTCACTCAGGAGTAACTGCTGGTCTTCCCGTGTTCTGTGACCAGGTATGGCTTGGACCGTGTTGGTGTGTGCTTTACTACGACCATTTTCCTCCTTGTAATGCGCTCTCTCATGCTCTGACTCTTATGGGATAAACCACATATGACTGGCAAAGACCGGCAAGAGCTGTAGATAAGAGAAAAGAGGACGGGTGTGGTTAATAATGGTTAACGATATGGTAAACAAGCGGCATGTGATGTTCAACCAGAGAATTATTTTCCAGTGATGAAATTTAAAGGAGAAAATTTAGTTATTAGTTAATTCCGAGAGTGGCAGGAGTGTCATGACAGGATGAACTACTGTAGTTGACCTCGGAGGCGAGAGTGGAGTAACGTGGGATTTATATCAGTGTTAGATAATGAAGTACCTGTAGTGGTGGCCGAGGAAAGTAATGACCTGACACTTACTTTACTTGTTATTACCTCCACTGGTGTATATTTCACCTTACACCTACCCAAATGTGAAGAGTGTTTATTTATTCATATGTCTAACACTGATTTTATTAAGTAACAATGGGGTGGAACCTTTGGAATTGATTATTATTGATATATATATATATACTGCACTGATTAAGATTCTCCCTGCAGAAAGTTAAAATGGTTTCTTGTGGATGAGGTTATAAAACTTTGGAGTATTTATGTTTGTTTATAGTTAGAGAAATATTAGATGAGTACAGGTGGTGTGGTTATTTTCTCATGTTGTTGTACTTCACTGACTTTTTTCTTTTTCATTGTGGATATTTTGCCGTGAATGGCTAAGTTCCAACTAACGCTATTTTATCTTAAGTGCACGCTGATTGGCTAAGTACTTTCTGTTTAATAGGAAGTTAAGTAAGGTTAGGTAGGTTTCTTGATTGGTTAGGTCTGGTTCTATTAGGTTCTAGTAAATGTTGGGTAAATTTTTACTTTAGGAAATGAGTCCCTAGGGGTTGACCAATATGTTTTTCCAATGTATTTTGATGTATTTTAAACGAATCTGACTTAAATTTTTGGTGGAAAGGGTTCTGTTTTTGCTCCCCCCCCCCACACACACACAATAATGGGGGAGAGCCTGTGAAATCGGTGTTTTTGGGTGGGGCAGAAAACGAAAGCGATTCATCTAAACTACAAAACCTAATCCCTGTAGGCCTAGCTTAAACTAACCTAAATGTTTCAGTTGTTAAAAATTTTGGGGCGCGCCATGTCCAAAAGTACAATATCTTAGTTAGAAGTGGAAGGACCAGGGATACGTAAGAATTGGTTAGAATAATCATAGGAGCACAAATGACAACCAACCTCCACCATGGCCATTGTGAACTGGTCAATAAAATTACCAAGGCTGTTTCCTTTGAAAAAAAAATCAAAGTTGATTGGTCGAAAAAAATTCGTGTGATGATATCAATACATCATTGGTCACGACTGGATAACGTCAGTCAATATTGCGCATGCGTGATGCGCCGTTAACATCTCCCCACAGACGAAGACTGAAAACTATATAAAATCAATTAATTTAATTGTTGCTATTATCCATTTCCGCCATGTATATACGGGGTTCCAAATGCTCAGAATAGCGAGATCTAAATGTTTCATCAGTTTATAACTTTCTGGCACACGATGTCCTAAAGTAAAATAATACCAAATGTTACCTCTTTTATAATGATAAGAAATTCTGTGGAAAAAATGAACAAAATCAAACAACTCCTGGCTAGGTATGTTTGTAGCTACATAACGGGTGCTTCTCATAAGTCCATATAGCACGCGGACTTCCATATACACAACGGTTTTAATAAGACAAATTTAAATTTATGCGCGAAATAGGTAAACATTGGTTTGGAAATAGAGTAGTGGACGAGTGGAACAAGTTACCATACATCATAATTAACTCGAATACGCTGGATAACTTCAAACATAGGTTGGATGGACATATGAGCAATAGGGGTTGGGTGTAAATGGGACTGCCCAGTATGGGCCAATAGGCCCACTGCAGTTTCTTCCATTCTTATGTTCTTACATGAATACGTATTGTGAATATTGGGTGACACATAATCAAGTCATTACTTTACTCATACTGGTCTTGTTTCCGTGTGGTCGTGACTTTTTAAATGAATCTATCCAGAGTATCATTAACATACAATAACATAACTAATTGTATATGTGTCGGCCAATATTCTCACTCTTCGTTCTTTTATATCCTTATTACTACTGAATTTCAGTCTTGACGTTGACATGTCAGAAAAAGAAATTCCTGATGATGTCATGATGTCAGCCGCTCCGTAGAACAAGTTCGTTATACCGGAAGAAGTACCAGAGAGGAGCCCCGAATTATATACTGTACACTAACTGATTTGTTTACAAAAAGCTGGAACTGGAAAATCAATCTATTTTTATGCATGTCCATATTTTGTTGACTTATGACCATTTTAAATGTTTACATTGCCCACTTTATAAATTAAAACTGCCAAATCTATTAGCCTGAAATCTGTCAATTCAATTAAGTTATTCTAAACCACATAGTGTGAAATATGCACTTGTAGTGCAATGTTTGTGTGACAGAATAGCATACTTATGTAATGAGATGCAACATTTTTAAAGCCTGCATTACATTTCCCTATTTCACAACAGTTTCCTACAAGATTTACATTATATTTTTTTTGTAATCATAGATAAAGCTAAAATGCATGGTACATATACTAATAGGTATGGATTATCTCTTGAATTGGGTGTAAGTAATCTTGGGTACGACTTATCTTGGGTACGAGATGACCCTAACCCCTACATAACGATTGACTCCCAGCGAAATAAATGCCAGATTCTGCCTCAATTGGTTTTTATGAAAAAATAATTAGAAGTGAAAGTAATGTTAGGTTAGGTATACTGTATGGTAGTTTCCTGTAAAGTTTTATTTTATTGAAGATTAGGAAATGGCTATTGATCCAGGTCGGACGGTTGACTAGCTCAAGTGCTATTGAGCTGGCTCACCTGGTAGTTGTATACAGGAGGGTTGTTTGTTGTTTTTATCAACCATATGACCTTAGGTTCTTATCTTGACGATAGTGACAGTGTGAAGCGCACTTTGCACACTTCGTAGGGGTTGGCAGAATGCAATGAGCCTTAAAAATATCATTAGCAGCAGCTTTGTCTTAAAAAATACTACAGAGGGTTTGCCAAGCTGACGAAGAACACCCATTTGAATGTTGCGGCTTGGCAAGCAATTTTCAAACTGCACATGACACCGAGGGTGCTGTATGCGCAAAAGTATCACATGACACCAAAACTGCCCATGATTGGTGGGACATATTTACATAAGTAAGATAAAAATAGTGCCCCCCCACCAAAATGTTGAGTCAAAAAGTAAAAAAAAAAAAAATGAAAAATACAAATTTACGATGGAAAAGTATTCAAATAATATAATATATTTTTTTGCTCTATCTCCCTGTATAGATATTTATACTGTATAAAGTTCCATGGTAAACAATTTCTAAATCTTAATCACCAGCATACATAAATCTGGTATCCACCTGTAGTATAAATATTTACGTACTGAGGATAATAATAAAGTATTGGTAGCCATTACTGGTACTGTCCTTATTTCCAATGCAGCCTTTATTATTTTAATGCAGCCTTTATTATTTTAATGCTGCCTTTATTATTTCAATGTGGCCTTTATTATTTTAATGTGGCCTTTATTATTTTAATGTGGCCTTTATTATTTCAATGTGGCCCTTGTTATTTGTTGTTAATATTTACAGTACATTCATTTGTACACAAAATTTCTGTCATTCAACAAAATTTACATCATTATCACAATACCTTGTTGTATCTACGACTTGGTTTACAGTGGTAGTTAAACAGGAAGTCTGAGCTCCGACTTATATGCTATACTATATTTTTGGCTATTAATAGTAGTACTGAAGTGTGCATTGATATTGTTTTGCTTAAGGAGAATGTATAATTTGAAGGAGTCTAGCTGGAATAACAAATTTGACCACTTTATATTATAGCTACATATTCTGAATATAATTATAAGGACCCTATTAGAATTCACAAAATATACAATTGGAAGTAAAATTTTAGTTTCGGTCATCCCTGTTATCTAACTTAACCAACCTAACCGGTTAATATTTAGTAGTTGCCCCCCACCTTACTGAATATTTAGTCATATATGGGAAGATGGAGAAAAAATTAAAAATAATGTATTCTATAACGTTTCCGTCGGAAATTTATAGTTTTCGAGTTATTTTAACTTTCACTTTATAATATTTGACCAATCAAGATGAGTGTTGATGTGATCTCATAGTTGTGTGCACCAATCAGTATGTGTGCTGATGCGATGTCATGGCGTCTGTGTGAGAAGGATGTACAGTCAGCCCAAAGATCCAGTGACCCCACCCTGGGCCTCGTACTGACAATTTTACCTGCCAATACTTGGTAAAGTAAGGGTGTATGTAATGATGATTGTGATTGGTGGATCTTTTTTTGGCTGTATCACCGTCATGATAAATATTGCTTAAATAATAAAAAAAAAATTGATCTGAGAATTTTGTGGCACCCCTCATTGTAGTTGAGTTGCCAATTCATTAATATACTTTCTTCATTATTTAAGCAAATATACGAGCATATGGGGACTTCTCATGATCTTAAATAGGAATGAATAGTTTATTATTAAAATTTCTACCTTTGGATTGATTTGTATTTATCCTCACAGTGATACAGCCAAAAATAGATCCACCAATCACAATCATCATTACATACACCCTTACTTTACAAAGTGTTGCCAGGTAAAATTGCCAGTACGAGGCCCAGGGTGGGGTCACTGGCTCTTTGGCTGGCTGCCATTATTCAGTGCATTTTGGACAATGAAGTAGCAGCTGTGTACATTTTTCGGGCTGAAAGTGTTCTTGTTTCATCTGTAAAGTGTCCGAGATGTAATTCAGAGTGTCAGTACCTTTGTAGAACATCATGCATGATACTGTGTTAAGACACAGGCACTGACGAACACACCATTTCCTCATTCAAGTCACATCACTGTATCCTCCTGTATCTCTTACTTAAGGTAAGTTTTTTTACACACAATAGGGGTTAGGTTGGGTAGGTTATTATGATTATTATTATTATTATTTTTTTTTTAGGTTTTTAGTTGTTTGACCTTCCACTTTTTTTCAATATCTCAAGAACGGCTCAGACAACTAAGGTTCTCTCCTTCCTTCCTAAGGGAAGGTGGTTGACCCTGAAATGGTGCTTTGTTGCTGACCAATGAAGGTCTTTGAGCTCACTGCTGGTGGTGTGATGGTAAGACTAGCATTCAGCCTTTAATGGTAGTGCCTATATCCATCAAGTCTCTTAGAAACCCGGATATGAAGATATGATGGTAAATTAAAAAAAAAAGAAAAAAAGATTATCTTCAGTAGCATTTGGTCTCAAGAACCCTAGATTTCTAGACTTGCTGACTATTGTCACACAATCCTGACATGGTTATAGAATGGGATTTCAGACATAATCCCTCGTCTTCGAGATGGAGTCTCAAAAGATTGAGAAAGCTTGGGATTCATGGTACAATGCAGTACAGTGCAATTAGGAGTTAGGAACCATATACAGATAGTGTATCATAAAAAAAGTTCATGAGACTTTCAGGAATGAAAGGGACCCAAGCAATTAATTACAAGGTGACTGATGTTCATAACTCTATGATCTGTGTGTATTGAAGCTATATACTGATATTTTATTTTTCAGAGTTCCAATTCAGAACTATTGTAAAATCTGATTCTTAAGATTAATTTTAATTGTGCTGAAATGACTTTAGAAAATTTTATATTTATGGAAAGATTTAAATAACAAATACAAGAGAGGGAATCAAATGACAGAAAAAACCTTCAGAAGCTGTAGTGTTAAGTAATGTAGATACAGTATAATTGAAAACATTAAATAGTGTTTAAACAATGCAAGTTGACATTGCACATAAATGTTAATGTTGTGTTTTTATGTAGATATCAGTGTGAAATATGAAATCCAATTTAGTGAAGGTGCTAAGACCAATCTTCATTCAATGAAGTAGCCTTCAAGTTTTGTGGTTTGGCGAGGTGTGAGGCAGGTGTCCCATGTGTGGGGTGGCGCGGGACAAGGCCGGTGAGAGTGACATTGTGACCCCCCTGGAGGCAGCCATGCCTCCATCCATCACAGTGGGATCAGATCCTCCCAAACCCACTGCGGGCCCGGGTGATCACCCGCCTCCACAGGACCCGCCTACAAATAAGGATATACCCACAATTGATCTGTCATGCGACGAGAATGATGACCTGCAAAAGGCAATTGCTCTCAGCCTGCAGGACCAGCAGGGTACCACCACCCTTCAGGGTGTGTCGGCTGAGGACCAGGAAGTCTCTCGGGCATTGGAGGCCAGCTTAAAGGAATCGCAACCCCAGGCTACCATTGACCTTTTGAATCCACAGGAACGTAAACGACAAGCTGGAGTTCCCGTGGGCCTTAAAAATATTGGCAACTCTTGTTGGTTTAATGTTGTTATACAGCCACTCTTTCATATCCCTGTGTTTCGGGACTTAATTCTCAATTTCTCTCAGCATGGGGACACTGAGGAGCAGATGGAGGAAACTCAAAAATCTTCCCGACAGCTCGTTCCAGCTTTACGCAAGCTATTTGCTTTAATGATTGGTTCAAACAGGAAGTACATCGACCCTACTCATGCTGTTCATATATTTCAAGGGCAGGAAATGAGAAAAAATGCTCAGCAGGATGTTTGTGAGTTCACCCACAAACTGTTAGAAAGGCTGGAGGAGGAGTTCCAGCAGCTGTTACGTCGGCAGGGAGTGGAGAAGGAGAGTTCTGGCTGCCATGTCTCTAAGGATGCAGACTTTGATAATCCAATTATGAAACTTTTTTATGGTCAGTCGAAGAAGGAAATTTGTGATGATGATGATGATGGTCCTAAACAGGAAGCCTTTGGCCAGTATCCCCTACATGTAATGAACTATGTAGATATACATGATAGTATCCTTGCATCCATGGCTAGCTGTATGCCAAATACTCTTGGAGATGTAGTTGAACCTGTCCAACAGGAAACATGGTTTAAGATGTTGCCACCTGTCTTAATTTTTTCTTTGTCTCGTTATGAGTATTCTCATGAAAAGAAAAGAGCAGAGAAAGTTCATAATAAGTTTGAATTTCCTGAATTCTTGTATATGGATCGTTATATGGAAATGAATAAGAAGATAATTAAAGAGAAACACATAAAGGTAGCCAAACTGAAGGGAGAGTTGAATTGTCTTAAAAAGACTTTAGATAGATATCAGAAGTATGGTACCGGTGAAGCCAAATATCCAATTGGCGATATTCTCAAATATACTCTTGATTTTGCACAGACTGGTCTAAGCCCAGTTCAGGAAGCAGAGGCAAATTCTGTTCCATCTCCATCCATGATGGAAGTTGATGGTGTTGAAACCTGTGAAAATGACATAGAGATGGTTGATGTCCCAGAAGTGAAAAAAGAACAAATTGAGGAACGTGACACAGAAAAGGAGAACAAGGCAAACTTGATAATAAAGGGAGAGGAAGCTGTGAATGATTTGATATTGAAGGAAGAATTGGTGGAGGACAATTTAATAGTGAAGGAAGAATCGGTATCAAATAACCTCTGCACTAATGAGAGGGAGGCAGACGAGGAGCCCCAGCAGATGCCGTCCCCATCCAAAAGAATGAGGATACTGCCGCCAGCACCACGAAATATTACCACTTCTGAATTGTCCATTTTACATTCTTGTCTTTCCCGATGGCTCCAGGACATCAATTTACAAGTCGCAGAACTCCGACGATGTATTAGTGAGCTTGAACAGCAGTTAAATCAAATGTACGATGAACCTTACCTTAAAAGGATTCCATATAGGTTACATGCTGTTGTAGTTCATGAAGGGCAGGCATCTGGGGGTCACTATTGGGTTTATACATTTGATAACATAAATAAACTCTGGATGAAGTTCAATGACATTCAGGTCGTAGAGTCAGACTGGGATGAGCTCTTACAGGACAGTGTGGGTGGCCAGAATAATGCCAGTGCGTACTGTCTCCTCTATATTGATGAGAGCCGCTATAATTCACTATTTCCTCAGGCCCCAGAGAACATGGAAACTATGATGGCTAATATTGCTATTGACCTGCAGGAGTATGTTAAGAATGATAATTTGGCATTTATGAGGGAATTGGAGGAATGGGATTTGAAGCAAGAGAAAAGTGACCAAGGCAAGGATCCTGTAGGAGCATCACAAGACCAACAAAGTGGCAGTAGTTCATGGGATAATAATATGCCATTGGTCCCAGTTACAGCACCCAACTCTCCTGATATCATATGTGTTCATGAGTCTGATGAAGCAAGTTTTTTCACTGAAGTTCAGACAATGCTCACTCAAACTGTTCTTGATACCCTTATGAAAAAAGACGAAAATGCATTACAAAGAGAGTGTGGGACTGTGTTGAATACCATATTGATTAGTGAATTTGAACGCCTTCAGAGTTTTGCTGATGCAAAATCTGAGGGTAGTCCTTATTGTGACCCCTCAATTTTAGACTTTGGAGTTTACCTTATTCGTAATAACCAAAATGTTGATTCTCTTTTACGCTGGTATGCATGTGAGGTCATCTTACAAGTAGCACAGAAAATAAGTGAGAGCACACCTGTTGTGGAAAAAGTAGCACTTGAAGCTACACAATGCTTACAACAGCTTCGTGATCAGCACCAGCGCACCGATGGGCCTGAGTACCGAGGCTGGCGAAGGCACTACCACACGCTCATTGACTGTGCCTGGCATCTAGTATATGGGTATCATCAATTTGAAAAAGGTAATTTAGAACGTGCTCTGCCCCTGTTACTGAGAGCCTGTCGTATTCATACAGAGTTGAAAGAGCGGCCACCATCAGGCAATAGGAAGACATTGGATAGGCAAGTGCTATGGAAATGCAGACAAGCTTGTTTGTTGGCTCTAAATGAGCAGCTTGTAGAAGCATTTCTAAATGGAGAGGAACAACAGGTAGGGGACATTCCAGGAAATGTAACTTCACTTATTGTTCCAGCTTTGGCTCAGTTAAATGCCAGTGGTGTGGAAGAAGACAAGGCTACAATAGCTGAGGTTCGCGCTCACTGGTGTGAGCTATTAGAAAGAGATATAAGTCCACCTGCCAAGAACAAGATGCTTGAACACATATTTGATGCAGTACTATGTTTAGTGGATGAAACCAAGGGAATAATGCCACTACAGATTCCTCGCCCTCCAACTGTCCTCATACTGTATAAGCAGTATGTCGATGCTTGTAATGCTATCATGACAGCTTCAAGTAAATGTAAGGCACAGACGAGTGATTTGTGAGATTGCTGCTCCTTAGTCCCACACAGCCCATTGTTTTAAGTGATAAGAGACTTGTGATTGTATGGAAAAGCTTTAGTTATATAAAGATATTCTTGCTAAAACTGTGATAAACTTTTGAAAGTGTTCGGGATCTGAAAGCACTTAGAAAAGCTTCCCTTTAGCTTTTTAGCAATTGACATAAGTTGCTCTAACCAAGCCAATTCATGAAAAATAGTATAAGAAAGTTGTGTATATATTGTACTCTGCCTCACAAGAGGTTATCACACATCCTCTAGAAAAAGGAGCTGACATTAACTACCTAATGTTCCAATTTAATGCCCGTTCTACCCTGTAACACGGGGAATGCTTTTGCCACTTGTAGAATCCGTGCTGACCAATATTAAACGATTTTTTCTATTTATTATTTATTTTTAGTATACGTATAGTATAATTTTTTCTTTATTATATTTTATTGTTGCTTGAGCATACCTACATCCTACTTTTCTTGCCATTTAATGGAGAAATTATGCCATCACATGCTGCCAAGTTGATTGAGAAAAATTTATCTTTCAACTATAAATACAACGCCCAAGAAAGAAGATTGATTAAAGAACCAATTGTGAACATCCGAGGAAAGACCAAGCAGATGCTGTTATATTACCGTAAGTGTTTTGTTGACTTGAGAGGTCCTTCCATCCTTGCTTGAAAACTCTTTGTGAGGTCTTTCTTGGGTAAACTATTAATGGTACATTTAAAAATTTATTACAGTATACAGTATCCTTTTGAGATGGCCATTTTCCACAATTACAGTATATGAGTTAGCTCATGGACTGTATGAAAGTGGGTATGTCTTCCATCCTATTTTGAGTCAGTATTATATGTAATGAAGTATGGGAACCCAAGATGTGTACACATATAAAATACCACATTGTAGTATTTAATTACTGGACTGTATCTAGAAACAAAACCATAGTCAGACATTATTATGGCTTCCTAAGGTTATAATGGTGTATACAGATGATATTAACAATGTTTTTATTTCCAAAATGTGATTATTCTTGGTTCTACCTTCTTTATTTATAACAAGTACAGTACTGTAATTGTCTTGTTCAGGTCCCACAACTCGGTATGAGACGAAGACCAAGACGTAGACCTGGGCTGGCCGGTAAACCCAGGACACTAACTGATGCACGAGTTAATGACTGTGTGGATCCTCCATCTGAAAGCAGTCTTGCTACCAACTTTGATGCACTTGCAACTCACCAGAGGAACCCTCGGCTTCGCCAACGTAATGCTTTACCCCGTCTTCAACCAATCACGTCATTTTCGCCCGTGCGGGGTGAGTATTGTTGTGAAGATATTAAAGTTTTATTGTCATAATTTTATGTTATTTTAATTGTAGCCTTTTTTATGTAGGTCCTGCTGTTCTTTCTGTTTTATCTGAAATATAATAATAGTTTAATCTGTTCTCTTATTGTGTATTTTGTCATTGATTGATAAAGTTTACTTCATTGGATGTTGGGGGAACTAAGAATGCAACACAGCAGCTTGTGTATCTGCATACATTCTTGACAACCTATGTTAACTCAACTGTAGATATAAAAATTGCTAAAGTTTTGATTACCCACAATGATCTCATCAATGTTGGTGATAAAGTCATTCTTGATCGGTTGTTGTAGGAAGGGTGAGAAGTGGTTTGACTTCAGCCACAACGTGTAAGAAATGATAGACCTTCTAACCCTGGCCATACTGACAGGTTCAGGCCTGGATAGGTCAACAAGCTCACTGGTGTACTGGCAGCAAATTGTCAATTTTTGTCATACAGGTTGAGGTGAGCCATTAGTGACAGTGGTGGAAATGAGACCCAACGTTCACCAAGGCACTGTGAAATTTCTGCTCCTACTAACCCAGAGAGGGAGGGGGAGGTAGCGAGGCAGGAGGGGAGGTAGTGAGGGAGAAGGGGAAGGGAGGGGAGAAGGGGTATGAGGGAGAAGGGTGAGGGAGGAGGGGGGGGAAGGGGGTGGCGAGGAGAAGGGGTGAGGAGGGAGGCAAAGGAGCGAGGGAGAAGGGGGGTGGGGAGGAGGGGAGGCAGGAGGGAGGGGAGGTGAGGAGGGAGGGGGTGGTGAGGGAGGGAGGAAGGAGGTTGGAAGGGGTGGAGGGGAGAAGGGGTAGCGAGGTTGAAGGGGTGGCGAGGGAGAGGGGTAGCGAGGGAGGGGGAGGTCGCAAGGGGGAAGGGGGTGGCGAAGGAGAAGGGGGTAGTGAAGGAGAATGGGGTGGACGAGGGAGAAGTGGTGGCGAGGGAGAAGAGGGAAGGAGAGAGAGAGAGAAAAGGGTGGAGAAGGGGGAGGAGAGAGAGAGAGAATCACACGTGTTATAACATGCACAAACTGGCTACTGGGAGAGAAGGAGGTAGAGAGAGAGAGGGGGAAGGAGGTAGGGAGAGATAGTCAAAACGTTTTGCTCGTATGAGGACTCTGACAGTAGTGATGACGTAGTGTTATCGGATTCCTGCCTCAAGTTCTGGGTAGCCCATCACTGAGTACTGAAAGTATACACAGTTTTTAGGGAAAATTTGATTGATATATTAACCCAAGTCTTTAACTGAATCATTTATTACCATTTAGGATTGGTAAATGCCAGTGAGTTACTTATGTGGTGAGCTTGCAAGTTTGTCCTTTTTCTTAGAGCTTCTGGCAACCCTGGGCCGTAGCCCCTGGGTAGTGGTAATAATGGCCGAGCTGTCAGTTGAACGTTGATACACAGCCCCGTTGGTAGTGAAGATGTCGCTTCATGATTTACCCGTTTTACCAGGTCTAGGCCAGTCAATTAGTGAGTACTGAATGTATTTACAGTTATTTAGGAGAGAGAGAGAGAGAGAGAGAGAGAGAGAGAGAGAGAGAGAGAGAGAGAGAGAGAGAGAGAGAGAGAGAGAGAGAGAGAGAGAGAGAGAGAGAGAGAGAGAGAGAGAGAGAGAGAGAGAGAGAGAGAGAGAGAGAGAGGAGAGAGAGAGAGAGAGAGAGAGAGAGAGAGAGAGAGAGAGAGAGAGAGAGAGAGAGAGAGAGAGAGAGAGAGAGAGAGAGAGAGAGAGAGAGAGAGAGAGAGAGAGAGAGAGAGAGAGAGAGAGAGAGAGAGAGAGAGAGAGAGAGAGAGAGAGAGAGAGAGAGAGAGAGAGAGAGAGAGAGAGAGAGAGAGAGAGAGAGAGAGAGAGAGAGAGAGAGAGAGAGAGAGAGAGAGAGAGAGAGAGAGAGAGAGAGAGAGAGAGAGAGAGAGAGAGAGAGAGAGAGAGAGAGAGAGAGAGAGAGAGAGAGAGAGAGAGAGAGAGAGAGAGAGAGAGAGAGAGAGAGAGAGAGAGAGAGAGAGAGAGAGAGAGAGAGAGAGAGAGAGAGAGAGAGAGAGAGAGAGAGAGAGAGAGAGAGAGAGAGAGACTTCACTCATCAATTAGGCAACGTTGTTGTACTTTTTATGGCAGAGTAATAAGTCAACATGTGTGCTACTTATACAGTAATCTAGTTCCATAATTTTTGGCTTTAATATTTCATTTATTCTGGATTGAATTTTGTCTCTGAGAATGAAAATAATCTGTGGGTACGTTTTGTATATATTTTTTGTAACAAGATGCAGAGAAGTGAATCATTACACCATGGTCAGAGTTTTGTGTGGCATTTACAGTAGAAACTTTATAGAGCTTGAGGGTGCAGTCACCTACACATTGGGTCTGCCTCCTATCACTGTTCATTCCATGATTAAGATGTAGGGCAAAATTTAAAACAGAGCTAAGTCTTGCTACTAAACTTTCAGGGATAAAAATAATGAAGCAGAGGAATAGGTAGGTAATGTTCAGTGTACACCTACCAAACATAGTCTAGTCAATCCTCGTCCCTTCCATCGACTCCGAGACTCATTAACTTGTGAAGACGAGACATCGCACATTGTTGGGTCCATAGATGGTGCACTGTGTGATGTCTGAAATTCACAGGGATCATGGATGGGAGAAAAGACCGATGGGACATTTTGGGGTGGGTGTACAGTACATTAAACTGTGTACACTTTTAGTAAAATTATTGACTAGTTTTTACATTATTTGGATGTGATAGTGTACACAGTATTGGCAATGACTAGAATTGTAACTTCCCTTTATTATGGTATCTCTTATGACAGAAAATTCCACTCTTTCTTATGTGAGTAACAATATTGACCAAAAGGATCCCCCCTCCCTTCTCTTATCCCATTAATTATTATGGGAAAAAATTTCTGCTGTCAATTGTTTCACTAATTTTCCCAATGTTTTAGAATGTTACTGATACCCACAAAAGAATAAAGAAATTTAGACTTACTAACGAAAATATTGTTGTCTTTACTGAATGTAATTAAGAACCATCAGAAGATGAAATTTTCCACATTTAATTTGTTTGAAATTTGGTACAGTATTTGAATAGCTTTATCAATTGAATTATGATGAACTCCTAGCTACACATTGTCCCGGATTTATACACAAAACATAACTAAATAAATGAGTGACATAAGATCTGGTCTCTTATCAGTGCAGAGTGCAATATCCGGTTTCATATCTTATCAGGTGAGTTTGGCCGACTCACCCGATCCCTCCCTTATTTCTCACTATCTCTACTCTCCTCCTTCGTCTTTCAACACTCCTTCTCTTCTATGTTTAGGGTCAAAAGAGAAATAATAAAGTTCAGATGACAACAAACATATATACTTGGGAGAGCACAGTACAGTACATTATGTGATAGATTTGCAATTGAGAGGGTGAAAAACAAACAGTGGAGGATTGATGGAGGATTTAGAGGAAGTAAGGGTTATACAGTATAGACTAAATAATCTCAGTAATAAAGAATACTGTATTGTACTGTATTGGAAAACAGAAATGATATGGAGGATTATTTGTAGGTATAGAGAAGGTATTTGAGTGATATGAGGTGATGAAGATACTGTGTATATGTACAGTAGTTGGAAGAAAGGTGCTTGGTGTAGTGGAGACTTTTTACAATAGCTTCAAGCACAGTGTTATAGACAGCAGAAAGGAATGTGATATAGAAGAAAGTCAAGTTTAAAAATGCAAGGGTAGTGCAATTTAAAAAAATATATATTTTACTTATCCATTTTATTTATACATGAGTTTCAGTCTTCTTTTCTCTGATATAAACTACTATAGCATCATTATAAAAGGAAACTATTTATCTGAATTCCATAAGTAGACTCCTCACTTTTATGTCTGTAATGTTTATCAACTTTTAGGTGATGGTGGTGCTGCTGCCATGCCTACTGAGATCTTTACCATTAGCAACCAAGGAGTTCTCAATAACTGCAATATCATTGAGATCTTGATCCATATAGTGTGCCAACATCTTCAGCCTGAACCCAAGAAAAGGGAAATATTATTTAGAGGTGAGTATTTGCTGGTTTAACATTATTTTTAAGAAGCTCTATTCCCTCACTGATCTCATTTTGTATTGCTGGATCTTCACAGCTTTACTCTCACTAGTGATGCTCAAAGTATAATGTTGTATGTCTGGCAGCTGTGTGTGTCTTGACGGGTTGTATAGTAGAGAAAGCAGGAGTTATTTCCTCCTTGTGGAAGCTTACAGGTGCTCTGTGGCCACCGTAACTTTTGTTAAACGATAAGTTGGGTTACTGTCACCATAAACTGTCAGTGAATCACCGGTTCAGCCTTAACGTTGTTAGTGAATCTGGGCCCTGTCCTTTAAGTGAGAAAAGACTTACAAGAATGAAAAAAATAATAAATCCAGTATAAAGAATTAGCCTATTCATTATTGTGGTTTCTCTCAACCCAACAGTGTAAGTATTTCATCTATTCCCTTGCTTACTAAGTCATAATACATTAACCTGGACTTAACCCTTCTTACAGCTTTTTGCATGGTGATTAAGAAGTGTAATGCCGCATTATACTTCCCACTGTCTGCCTTCCCTCACCTCCAAGATGTTCGGACAAGCCTTTTGAGAGAGTTTGAACAACTATTCGAAACGTATTCGAGTCAAATCCCTTCAGACTTGGCAAGCTTGGATTTTTCGAGGTGAGTTGGATTTCAAAATCTGTAACCCATTCCAAGATATTGTTCTATCGTGGACAAAAGTTCTCTCCCTGTGGTGAAACTGAGTCACGGGAAGAGTCTCCGAACTGACATACCCTGACTGTCATATGGTGCGGGTGTGCTGTTTTATCTCATTGGGGGTTAATACTGCTTCAGTTTGGGAGGAAGCGAAGTTTTGTCCACGATAGTACCTAAAGTTCTGTTTCCCCCTACTTAACAGTAACCCCCCAAAGTCTATACTCTGTACAGTATACCAAATTTCTTATTGTGCAGTTGTGGCCATACAGTATATCCTTTGTCAAGCTGGCTGTCTCTCTCTATCTCTTGCTCACTCTCTCATCAATGGAGATTTATTTTTTATCCTTGATGTTGGAATCCTATTCTGCCAAAGTGCTTTATCCTCCCAATTATATTATCATTTATGATGCACCATAGCCTATAGCACACCATGTAGTAGGAAACCACAAATTGCTTATAACTGCGTGGCATTTATCATCTATGCCAAGTAGGCTACAAGGAGTCATAGAAGGTAATGGAGGTGAGAGTGAAGTTGGTGTGTATTACCCTCTAGGCCCCGTTGTGGGTTGATGACCTGTGCCTGGGTGGGCTCTTCCAAGGCCACCTAGAAGAGAAGGCCTGGATTTGGGTTTAATGACGTCACTAGGGGAGGCGGTGACCACGCTCGCTCGCTCTCTCAGTCATATTTACATAAACTATGGTTTATAGCTGTAACTTTCTTTATATATTGTTGAAGGAACTATATTGACTAAATATAGCACAGTAGTCTACTTTCTGATTCATGATTATACATGCAATCAACACTGAATTAGCTACTGCATAAAGAAAACATCGATGTATTCTATAAATAATTCATACATATTCACATTCTTATCACCATTATAATTACCAAAACTGTTAATACCTAGTTCAGTCAATCAAGCTATTTCTGCTACATTAAATCATTTTCGATATGAAGAAATTTATTTAGTAATGTAATGTTTATAACATTATTTTCATAATTTGATTTTGCAATGGAGGTAATGCAAATCAAATACATAAATCAACCTCTGGTCTCATTTGCATAATCAAATAGACTGCATATAAGGGCAACATCTTCCCTGACTGTACATACCTACCTACATGAGCTTTGGGGAAAATGAAGTGACAACATGCCCATTAGACAAAAAAATAATATAATATTAATAACATCGGTACTAACATTTTATTTAAAATTGTTAAATCATTTTTCAATTTAATTGAAGCCTTTTTACGGGTGATTATAGTACATATACTGCAGCAACTTATATTAAGTAGAATTTGTATTACTGTAAATTCAGTACCAATGGGGAACCATTAAAATTGACATAGGCTACTACAGGGTACTAAATTAAAAATACTACTACTTCATCTCTGAACACAACATAACATTATGATTTTCATCTGTGAATGCTGTATATAAGTTGAAATTAGGATACAATAATCATATTTTAAAAATTGATTATTACTCTTTAAATGTTTGATTATGATTACATATTCATTGCCATCATTTGATTAATAATCGTAATCAACCCCCATGCCTGGTGCATATATGTTATAAACAACACTTGTTCATCCTCAGCGAAAACAAATACTAATACTTAAACCTGTGTAATTTCTTTGAAATCATTTATATACGTTTGTAATAATTTGATATATTATATATAAATCTATCCAATACATCACTGTTTGAGCTACTGAAAGCTAACAATGGAGTAACAACGAAAAGCGTGCGCTGAATTATAGTCATCATTTAACTACTCTAAATTAATAAATACAGATCTATGATCATCTCTACCTTTACTACACAAGAAGATTATCATGTCTAAGTCTTACCGTTGGTGAAATCCAGTTCAGAAAAAGAGAAATGAGAATAAAAGCAGACCGATAAGTTTCTCCATTCTCTCACAAGGTGTTTAGGCGACTGGTGCTGTCGTGCTTCAGTTGTGACGTCATCATCAGATTTGCGAGGGAGACCCAGGCCGCCTCTTCTAGGTGGCCTTGGCTATTCCCCAGAAAAAAAAAATGCATGCTCTTTTAATAAAAAGTATTAGTTGTGAACATAATTTTCTATTGTATTTTATTGAATTCAAAAGCTGTACTGGTTATTGTTGGGTGATAAAACACTGACAGTTTATGGTTAGGTTAATATTTACCTGCTTTTGACATTTCAAAGAGTTTTTTTTAGTAATAACTATTATGCTTACAAGGCCTGTACTGTAAACAGATTTTTGCTCCAAATTATTTATTACAAATTGATTGATTACTGGTACAGGGCTGCCTCACTTAACGTAAAGGTTACAGGCATGAAACTTGTTGCGAATATCGAAATCGCTAATAGCGGAGCAATTTCTCCCAAAAGAAATAATGTAAATAGGGGGGACACGGGCATCGCGGTGGTCACGGCCGTCAGATTTTAACACTTGTCTTACTCAATACATTTAGAACATAAAATAAATAAAGAAACAAGGGCATAATATAAAATAAAAATCAATAACAAAAACCTTGAGTTTATTCGGCATATATGTTTACAAGTACAGTATACAGGGGTACTTTACATGTTTGAGTGTGTGTGTTTGAATGCTTATGTGCATAGGTGTGTGAGGTAAGTTTTAAACGTAGACTGTTAATTACCTCTGATGTGCTGTGTTGCATGCTTGCTGTAGTTGGCGTTAGGGGAGAGGGTGAGAGGAGGCTGGGGTCGTCAAATACCTCACTGCCAGGGTCGTCAGCCACCTCACTCTCATCATCACTACCAGGGTCGTCAGCCACCTCACTCTCATCATCACTACCAGGGTCGTCAGCCACCTTACTCTCATTATCGCTGTCAATTTGCACTGAAAGCTGTTGTTCTTCACTGCCTTATGTTGAATCATGCGTTGTGATGAAGGTGTTTTAAGGCGCTGGGTCTGGTCGTCAATCCACGTGCTCAACATTGGCTCCATACTCTCCATCTCAGCATCACGGAACCTCGTCACCTTCGTAGCCGTCAGTGGTGTTGCAGACCCGGCCATCTCCTTGATCTTGTCGGCGCTTTTAACTATAGAATGCACCGTAGAGGGAGCCAAGCCGTGCACGCGCCCAATCACTGACGTTCCTTCTCCGTGTTCATGTTTTTTTACGATATCCAATTTCACATCCAACGTAATTGCCACACATGATCTCTTAGCAACATTGCTGGGAGTTTTAGCAGCTGGTTGCATTGCGAGATCATACAAAATGCAACTATGAGATCACACAATACTGTACACAACTCCGAGATCACACAAAACACACGCCAGCACTTTTGAGACTGAGGCAAGCGGGAGCATATGGCGGAGGAAGATGTACACACGTACACGCTGTCCTACGCTACTGTTGAGGCGCGCGGTTCAAAATTTTTCATTGTAAGAATTTGCGAATAAATGAGGCAACCATTGCGAATAGTGGAAATAGGTAACAAATTTATTGCGGATAAACAGGTTTACGAATGCTGAGGCTATGAATCACGAGGTTTGCCTCTACTGAACACCTCAGCAATGATACTGTGGAAGAATGAGTCATAAATTTGACTTAACTTATAGGCAATAATGAGAAAAAATTAAATACACTGAATTTTCATTGTATTAGTGCCATAATAATAAGTAACTAGGGTAAATATCCTGTGATGCATATGTGGTAGCTCAGTATTCAGTCAACGCTGTGACACTGTCACATGTACAGAATCTCCATCAGTACTCCTGCACATAACTGTGCGTAATAAGTTGTGTTTTGAACAGGTTTCTCACAAAATTAAGGAAGAATAAGCATGTTATAAATTTATCTTACAGAAAACTGTGGTATCTAATGTCTTTTGACTTTGACAGGTTACAGGTTTCCACAAGCCCACTGAGTCAGCTTACGCTATCAAACATTTACCAACACCTGGATGATCGTTATACCCGAGAATTTGTGGAGTGGGAGGTCCTAGGAAGAGGTGGATTTGGAGTGGTTGTAAAGGTCCAGCATATGTTAGATGGCTGCTTCTATGCCATCAAAATTATTCCTATGGAGTGAGTCAGTTAAATATTCCCACAAATTATAAAAGTCAATATTTTCTTTTTGCTATACAGTAAGGTCTCAAGATGAGTGGATCATGTGAGCAGGGCAGTCAGTGTATATACACAGTAAACCTACAATATCAGCTTCACATTTTGGCCTTAAATTTTATTGAGAAAAATTTTCTGAAGAATTCTTGTAGAATGTTGCATATTAAGGCAAAATATATTACAGTATGCTTAAAGTTACCATAGTCCCCTGTCTCATAGTTTCACCTAACCCAAGGAAGAATTTTTAGTTATGTGTGAGTCAAAGAATATTGCTGACTTATGTAATTATAGGATAGCTTTTTCTCATTTTAAACAGATTTATACTTTCTGTTTTTGTTTGAACAGGGATGATGACAGCCAGACTGCATTAAGGGAGGGAAAGGCCCTGGCACTGCTGAACCATCCTAACATTGTGCGCTACTACAGCACCTGGGCACAGCTTTATGTCCTTCCTTCACACCTGAATCTCATTGACCAACACAGCGAAAAGTTGAGGCGAAAACCTCGTCGGCCTGCATCAATAATCACAAAACCAAGAGTTAACAGAATATTTACGACATCCAACATCAAAATCGAAGAATTATCTAGGTACTGTAATTGGTAATTCTTTAATACTTACTGGGTATGTATGTACCATACATTTAAATGGATTGAATGACAGCAAATGAGTATGCATTATTTGCTCTTGCTTCCAGCCACCCAGCATTACAATGAAACATTCAGATTTGTAAAGTAACATTTTTGGGTATTTACTTTTTAAAAAGTGCTCAAAATTTTTAGTACTTTTACTTGAATATGGTTTTCTAATACTTTTACTCCATTACAATTGAAGAAAAAAAAAAGACAAATTGTTAGTGGTTACATGCAAACTAATATATTTTTTAAAATTAATTATTAACCATAGTAAAAAAGTTGTGTGGGTAGAGGGTATGGTGTAGGTGGAGCCATGAAGGGTAAGGTGTGGGTATGGGGAGACATCACACGGTCACATACCTAGAGGACTCGTGAGGTGAGGCGACATCAGGTCAGGTGGCAGTGTCCATGACAGCGGACTTTTTCTCTGATCTTCTTGACCACCCACCTCACCTAGTCTACCCTGTTATCCCCCCCCCCCTTCCCCATCAAATCCTCTCTTCTCCCCCACCTTTCCTTCAGGGGGTTGGACTTCCCGTTATACGTCAGTTGCTCTTTGCATATAACCTGTACCAAAAATGAATTTCGAAGAGGCTGTGATTCTAAAATACTTTACATAATTCTGTCATGGATATAAAGCCTGTATCTATACATATCTGTAAGACTGAGCGTATTTAAAATTCTGCTTAAATAATTAAAAACCACTTAACAGTTCTTGGTGAGTCGTAATCAGACTCAGTCACTATGGAGGCAACACCCACAAACTCATCAACTGAAGGAGCCTGATAGCTACTTGGCATGTCCAGGGGATGGAATAGAGCTACTGATGTGTTTCCCAACATTATGCAACTTATCTCTCAAGCTTAACACCTCACTACCTGTATATGTTGCTTGTGAGCATCTTTTAGTCATGCTGGGCTTATTATTTATGATATAATTAATTTATTACACCCCAGAGGGCAACACTATGACTTGTCATATAGAGACAATATTGATATGATTTAAAATTAAGGACAATGGGAGTTAGCACCCACCAAAGCGTGGGTAGTGTACAAGAATTAAATCTAAATTATTCTGAATAAGTAAGTGGTGACATATAGTGGTTTGTGACTCATCCCACAGTACAGTGGGACAGTCAAGGCAACAGTGTTGAAGGGTGTTAGCATTGGGACAGTTACAGAGTTTACAGGAAGAGAATTGTTGGTCACCCTCTGCCTCAGATCCTTGCCAGATAGGTCTGTATCCTCACCTAATGCGAGCAGAGACAACATTCTGTCTGCGAACCATAAGTCCATGTTGATGATACTTGTGTGGATAAGGAAGAAAGTGATCATAGTGTTGGATGGATAGATTTTCAGCCTGTTCGCTATCCCTGCGATGGATTGTAGGGAGAATAGCAACTGAAGGTATTCTCTTTTGGTAGGTCATGCTGGGCTTATATTTGAACCTAAAAGATCCTGATTGGACAGCCATAATTTCTAGAATCAGTTACTGATAATTCAATAGAAAGATTTGTAAATAAACATGTGCAATGCTGTGTCTTTTATTTTTATCTTTAGTTAACTAGTTTATAATAATTTATTGAATTTATTTTAATATTTGAGTCAATAATTTTGTTGTATCTTTTTATTTTCAGTACTTGAGTACTTTATGAATGATATACTTTTTTTACTTCTACTTGAGTAACATTTTGCCAATGTAACAATACTTTTACTTGAGTAACAAAGTCCTGTAATTTTTATCACTTTGAACACATCATATATCTTTTATATGCCTCTATTGAGCGTGCAGGGCATTATGTAGCTGTCCATCCATGTGGTTATACTGTACATGATCCTTCCATCCCACTTAAGTTTGTCAGGAAGAATATATAAAAAGTATTGAACATAGAAGATTGAAACTTTGTACCTTTTTTTGTGTATGGTATTTTCAGATGATTTATTTAGATATTGAAATTGTTTGATTGATTTTTGTTTTTGAAAGAAAAATTTTCATTGGTTTATATTACCAGTGGGAGTAGGTATTAGGCAGCTACCAAACAGGGAGGTACTACCGCCTGGGAAGATATTGGAAGCATAATGTATTGTCTAATGGTAGACCCTGCTGCCATATGGCATCACGAAAATTGTGACCAAGTCCCAGGTTGCTGATCTGACTTTCTGCCTCATTTACACACAATTGCAGGGTCTCAATTGTTTCTCTTACTTTCTTACTTTGAAAACACAACATACATATATTGTTTCTCACTACATATTGATCTTAATTTTTTATTAATTTTCTTTTAATTTAGTCCTTTACAAACACAAGTCTTGTTTTCCCTTTGCTTATGCTTTTGCCATTACAGGTATTAACCCCTGGGCTTTGGGCTCTTGTCGGCATCCCCCTATGCGGGTATATTCGGGAACATTTAAAAAACAATTTTAATTATACAAACTGGCCATGCATGATATAAACAGGAAATAAATGCATTTCCTTACCACAGGGTGGTAACATAGGAACTCAGAAGAGTCGAGCATGTTCGTGTAGTGGTGTGTGTGTGTGCCACAATGGTACGAGGTAAACAACTCTAATTTTTAGACAGTATGAGGTACAGGACACTTGTGGTTACTATTTACACTATTAGCAATAATTATTACTGCTCCAGTAATTGTTCACAATACTAGACATGTACTTGGGGGTAGAAACACAGTTAAGTTAGTCAAGTCCAAGGGCAAGATACCTACATAACAAAAGATGAGAAGAGACTGGGAGGCTCTCATGTGTGAGTGAAAGGCAAATCCCTACTTGACAACATATCTAGCTAGGCCTGCCCTTTTTATTCAAATAGGCCCGCGAAAGATCAAAACGTCATATAATATGACCCGAAGCTCTATAGATGCACGTCATATGACGTGACCCGAAGCCTAGGAGTTAATTGGGGAATTGGCGTATTTTATATACTGTACTGTTTAATGTATTTTTGCCGTTAATAATGGGGACTTAACAAATTGTATATATACTTTTGCCATTATTAATGAGAAATTAACAAATATATTTCTGCAATTATTAATGAGGAATTAACATTCTGTACAGTATTTCGTATACTGTACACATTTGCCATTATTAATAAGAAATTAACAAATTTAATATAAAAACTCTTATTTAACAGCAATGCAGAATGTGATGATGCAGTTGAAGAGACTTCAGGTGAAATATCCTCCAGAGGTCAGAGGAAATCACAGAGGAAACTCACTCACAGAGCCCAAGCAACAAAAGCGTTTAATATTATACATGAAGAAAGTACAGAAATGAACTACAATATTTCTGTAGATGAAAGGATGGATAACAACAGTAGAGAAACTCTTCACTGTAACAACCTTCAGCAAAATTCCTCTAAGCTAATGAAAAATCTTGGAATTAGCAGCAAAGAAAGCTGGAATGCCAAAAGTTCATCAGACGAAAGTATTATTTTTTGCGATAACCTTAGCAGTAATGCTGAAAGCAAAAATGAAAAGATTCTCATGCCATATAAATATTCATCTTCATCAAGTTCTGAAAATTTAGTGAGTGCCTCTTTGGATAGTGAAAAAAGTGCAGTATTATCATCTGTCAGTGATGACCAAAGATCTGTTATGCCATATTCTTCTCATAGAATGGAGGTTCTGGAACATAACAATCAGCGTCAATTGACTATTTTTATCCAAATGGAACTTTGTGGCGAGTCTTTAAGAGATTGGCTGCAATATCGGAATGACAATTATACACCAAGCGCTAATGGCAGACAGTCCCCAGTAGACCGAAAAAAATACCTGGATTTATTCAAGCAAATGCTTTTAGCTGTGCAGTGTATCCATTCTGCTAATATTATTCATCGTGACGTAAAGGTAACTAACCTAATCTAAATTGTTCAAGAGGGCATTACTCAATATTTATTGCATTATATTACCACAACTTCAGTCTCAGACAGGGTTAGGTCTTAAGTTTTACCTGCCAGCCCAGCAGAACTAATGCTCCCTAACTTGCACTAACCTGAACTAGAAACCTGTTCTTAATAGTGTTGAACCCTTTCTGCATGCCACTTTTATCTTGTTATGCTAATGACAACTTTCAAGGTTTGATACTACCGTGAGGTCATTGAAAAAAAAAGAAGATTGGTCCAAATTTTCCTGGGCAAACCTTTTAAGAAAAATAAAATGGAATTTATATAAGGTAAGATATTTTTTTTTATACATATATTGTATACAGTAAACATCTGCTCCAACACAGCTTTACATAGGATGACATGTTTAGTCACATGGGTGTACAGTATAATGGAATATTTGAGTAAGTATTTATAAATCTTTCAATTGTCTTATTGCAACTTTCCCTTGTTTTCCATTAAGAAAGGAAGAAAGTTACCATATACAGTATGCACGATTATAAGCTGACCCAATTGTAAGCCGTAGGTGTGGGTTTTCTGATAATATTCACACTAATAAGGTTTGACCACAATTCTCAGCTGCCCCCTAATGTTGAACCATCACTTAAACCAATTGGCTGAGGCCGTGGGAAAATGTTTTTACTCGTGTGCACAAAAAACACGAGCACTTAAAAACTTGCCTACAGGTAATGTTATTCATTAAATAAATATTAATTCTTCTTAAAGTCATGCATATTTTTGTGCATCATGTATACAGTTGGATATTAGAAGCATTAAAATTAGGAACTGTATTGGGTGAATATACAGTACAGTACAGTACAAGGAACTTTGATTTATGCTCTTCTTTTACAGTACAGTATTGGAAACAAGCATCAATAATGCTTTAAGAAAAATTGTTCCTCTTAATATCAATACAATACAGTATATGGTAATTACCAGTAATAAATATTAACACTAACCATTATAAAAGAAAGCATCAATGATCCATGGCAGAAAAATATTTCTATAAGTACAGTTTATGTACGTACGGTGCTGTATCCTACCAGGGTAAAATAAATAAATAATAATAATAATAAAAAGGTTTTACTTGTCTTTAAATTACCACTAAAAAATTTGTACTAATGCCACTAAAGAATAAAATATGACTATTCAATAAATACCCTGTATTTAAGTAACAGTGAACCTGCACTCATCAGTGTGGGAAGGCGACACATTAACACAGCCAATTGCCATCACCAAACAATTAAATACTGTACTGTACATGTATATTACTTTTAACTGTTATTAGTAAAATTATCTATGAATTACTAACCCTTCAACTGCTCACAACTTCCTAAACCCCTACCTTGTACAGTATACGCATAAAAGCGACTTAAGAGAAAATAATAAAACTTATGAAATTATATTACAGTACAATATTCTATGTAGAAATAAAGAATATTAAAAACTAAATGCTAATCCTACCTTCCCTTTGGTTTATGAGTGCGTAGAGCACGTGGTAGTGGAAACCCCAAAACAGTGATCATCAGCCTTTGGTAGCAATAAAACACCCTGCACTTTGTTTCTGAAGCTGGTACAACAGACCTGACACTTGCCCTTCATCACTGCTCTAGAGAATATGTTTGTATAGTACCTGATTTGGGTAATAAACTAAAGTGGATGTGTAATGTGACACTGAGGGACGAGGCTCTGTTCAGAGCTAAGGGGGCTGTTGGGTATTGAGAGTATTGGTAAAGTTGTCATAAAGGCAGGTTGAGATAGTTTGGCAAGTGGAGAGAATGGATGAGACCAATTAGGTCAAGAGGTTAACAAGTCTAAATGTAGAGGGGACGAGAACGAGGGGTCGACCAAGAATGACACGAGTAGAGGTTGTAAGAAATGACGAGAGTAAAGTATCTGATGAGAGACTGCAAGAGACAATGCAGCATGGGTAGCTGCCATCAGGTAAATACGATTAACCCGTGCAAACGTGGAAAATTGCCGTAAAACATTGATGAGGATGTATTTTTTGGATGTATGGTAAGGGGCAAAGTTTTTATTTGATACACCAGTCAGCATCCAGAGCTGGAATAGTTTGATATGTTTTGTTGGTCCCCTGAACTTCAACACTAACCAACCCAAGCATAGTATTTTCTTTTAATCCCCCATTTCATAATTTTTACTTTTTGGCATAAAAAGGTGTGGCTTATAATAGTGCAAATATGGTACATAATAGTAATGGAAAAAAATTAGTACAATACAGGTATCCTTTGTTTAGTGTTGATTCACGTAACGTTAATTCAGTTTAGCGATAAAATTTGACTCGGCTTTCGAGAGATTTTCAGGTAACGAGATGACTCGAAGCTGGAAAAAAATCCCTCATCCCTAGAATTTTCCGTTTACTGTCAAAATTTTCTCGGAAGTTCCAGAAATTGTGCATTGAATCATCTCTTGAACCTGGAAAGAAATCTCCCATCCCCAAAATTTGCCTGATTTTCATCTCTCAAACCCGGAAAAGAAAATCACCCTTCCCCGGAATTTTCCGGGTACCGGGAAAACTATCTTGTAATTTTCCAGAAAATGTGATCCTTGGAAATTTCAATTTTGGTTTAGAGGGAATCTGGCTAATGTAGATATTACTGTAGCTTGACTCATTAAGAAGGAGAAAATCTAGGGATAGGGTAGCCTGTGAGATGGCATGTGCCATTGTTACATGTAATGAAGCAATGGAAGATGTGGAAAACTCGTTACAATAACCTAATATGACTTATAAATAAAGAAAATGCAATATAGACCTTCTGTATAGAATAAGAAAAATGAAGAGCATGGGTGTGTGTGTGTGTGGAGGCAGTGGGCTGTAACTGCGTTGCCAGCCAGCCAAGCCCAGCTGCTCCCTCTTCCATGTGACATCATGGCATACACACAGTGCAGTGCTGCAACAGCCACACGTCAGCTGGGTGACTAGTCACTGACTATCCGGCTGAATTGTGTCGTGTCACCCAGAGGATGGCTTGAGTGTGGAAGGAGTAATTTTTTGTAGCTACCTGTACATAAAATATGTGCTATTGTATTTTATGTTATGTTATGTATCAATTTTATTGTTTATCATAGCAAATTTTTTTTACTTTTGACTTACAGTATTCAATATGAATTTTTTTATAATTAAGCTCATCTTGTACTCACTAAATTGTTTAACTCTGAACTACATCATTTATATAGAAGATTGGCATTCATAAATCAATTGTTTAACTTCAAACTTGTTTATAACAAACTTGTTTATTTTTAACAATATTAGGGATTGCAGTACAGGGTACTGTACTCAGTGATTACAGCTCTGCTGTTCGAACCTGTTGTTGGCCCTCTGTGCTTTGCTGTTATTCCTCATTTAGCATTAATTTCACTTAACATTAGCTTTTCTGGAATGCAACCCCATTATTAAATGAGGGATACCTGTACAGTTATTATCCAAGTCTTAAAGTGTGGTGTTTGAGTGGATACAGCACTCGCCTCCTATTCTGGGGATCAGTGGTTCGGGCACTCCCAGTTCACCAAGCCGTAAATGGATACGTAAGTTTACAACTTGGGGAAGTGAAGGCGGTCGAGAGCAGTACCGGCCATGCTGCCTCCTTGTGTACTGAAGGCTTCGTATACAAAGTGCTGAATCTACACAGTACCTAACAGGCAGTCATGCCTGTGGAACCCACTTCCACATTGAAGTTTTACTAACTTTTGATGTTTTAGTCCTGGATTAGGCATTGCACTTTCGTTGTCAAAATTTGACAAAGATTACGGATGGTGTTCAATAATAAAGCAGCCACAAGTATTGACCAATCACTAGGAGACTTTAGTTGATGAAAGAGGTTAGGCATAGGTTTAGAATAGGCACGTCATTTGTTTGGTCAACATTGGGCAAAGGTCACTGAGAAAGATTAATTTCCCACTCATGACTTCAGTTGAATGTGAGTTTTTATCATGCCTTACTACTTTTTTTATATGTTTTTTTTATTTTATTTTTTTTGCATGCATTAGCCCACACCAGGCACAGGTAATTTTTAATGACCCACATCAAGGCGGGGGAGATGTAATAAAATAATAATAATAATGATGATGATGATGTTGATGATGATGATGATAATAATAATAACAACGAAGGTGGGTGACAAGAATTTACATGCATTTGCTTGCCTCTTATTTTAATGAATTCATTAAAACTTTATCCCCAAGTGGATGAAGAGTCAGAATATTGGTTAGCTGTACATATATGGGATTTTGCTATTTGTCTCACAAGATATGCTTAGTCTACTTTATTATAGCTTGAATGCAAGATTTCCATTTATTTCTTATTACAGTATTTTTAATTATATTTTTACTATTATTATTAATATTAATTTTTTCAGCCTGCAAATATATTCTTTACACTGGATGGACGGCACATCAAACTGGGTGATTTTGGGTTGGCCCGATTAATGCCAAACCTGGTTACCTGTGGATCAGGAGAAACGGATATAATTGTAGAAGAAACCAACCTTACACCAATATCTGAGCATGCACCAAACACTCGTGGTGTCGGAACACCTATTTATGCTGCTCCAGAACTCAAGATTGGTGGTCGATACGATACTAAGGTACAGTATTGTAATGAGACATAATTTTATGTTTGTCTTTTAATCTGTTTATTATCAGGTTAAGCTCACTATATTGGGGCATAACCAAGGGGGCTGGGTTCCTTCCTTTTGTAGAGATGTGAGTTTTGCATAAAGATTGTTCTGTTAGGAATGAGCCCCTGGATATAATGCTACATATGTTTTATGGAATTTTGTTTGTAGAAAAGTTGTCATAGAAGATACCTCTTATTTTTTATGTAAAATTTCATGTTAGTTTTGCATTATTAGAATTCTGATTCACAAGACAAAACTCTTATCTGTACAGTATATGAATTGAGTTATTTCATCTCTTTCTAGAGTGACATGCACAATCTAGGAATCATTCTGCTGGAGTTCTTTCAACCATTCCAGACGGGATCAGAGAGGATCCACGTGATTAATGCCCTTAAAACAAAACGACAGTTGGACCAAGAATTTCTCACCTTGTGGCCTGATATTGTAAGTATTAACAGAGGAGTAATATAATACTAGTTGTCTTGTCTCCTCTCATTTCTTTTGTTCCAAACTTCCTTTGTTCGGCACTACCCAAATGAGGAGATAGTGCAGGAACAGTGTGTGACATTGTGGAGTTTGTTAGATGAGTGTAATGAGTTCATACAGTAGCTGTTCGATAACTCGCCTGTGAGATGCAGGTGCTCAGCAGCATCAAAGTTTTATTTTGCCACCTCTGAATTTTAGTGACTATAAATATAAGTCTCCTTGGATCAATATCTGACTTGGAGAACCCTCTTTTTGTCGAATCAGGACAAGGATATTTCGAAACCTTTCTCCTCTTTTGGGTTATATTGTGACATTCAACCAGATTGAGGTTTGGTGCTGGAAAGCCAATGTAACAGATAATGGATGAGGAAAGGTCTGAGTTTATTAGCTGTCATAGCAACTAAGACTCATACATCTCTGTTATTAGTGGTAAACCCTTGACCTTCAGACCCCTCTCACAGGTTGTGATGGGGAGAGCTGTACAATTTTCACCTCCTCCTCCTCCTCCAACTAATACAGTCCCTCTGCCTCTCCTCCAACTAATACAGTCCCTCTGCCTCTCCCCCAACTAATAGTCCCTCTGCCTCCTCCAACTAATACAGTACCTCTGCCTCTCCCCCAACTAATACAGTCCCTCTGCCTCTCCCCCAACTAATACAGTCCCTCTGCCTCTCCCCCAACTAATACAGTCCCTCTGCCTCTCCCCCAACTAATACAGTACCTCTGCCTCTCCCCCAACTAATACAGTACCTCTGCCTCTCCTCCAACTAATACAGTCCCTCTGCCTCTCCTCCAACTAATACAGTCCCTCTGACTCTCCCCCAACTAATACAGTCCCTCTGCCTCTCCTCCAACTAATACAGTCCCTCTGCCTTTCTTTTCACCACATCCAACATGCCAGTCCTTCACTGGACTTAAGGTAATGTGCTATATTTAACTGATTAATTCATATTGATTTGATTTACTGTATCTTATTTTGCTAGTACAGTACTGTGTCATTATTATTATTAATAAGTATATTAATTGGTGGTTTGATAACTATGTACAGTATTTATGATTTTTTTTAGATGTGGTTTTTCATTTGCATCTGGGGACAGATTAATTATTAATTTCATTGTTTCAATATGGTTAATTGATCTTGTTTACAAACATCTAGTTTACAAACACATTTCAGGAACACATCAAGTTGTAAACCAGGGACTGCTTGTACTTGATGGGTATTGTTGACCCATTTCTGCTTTGAAATAGGATTTGAAAGATAAATATTTAAATAAGTTCTTGAATTTTTCATTATTGTGACAACAGTGTTAAAGAACTACAGAACCGTTGGCTCTACTTTCAATTATCTACCATCCAACATTAGAAGGACCACAGGAAAAGTGTACTTGGACAAGAAATAATGACTTTTATTTAATTTTTTCTTCTTCTTCAGGCACCTTGGATATTGCAACTCACTGATCCGGAGCCAAACGATCGACCGTCAGCTTATGAAGTATTGGAGTCAACATTGTTTAAAATTCCAAAATTGGAAAGATCGCCTAAAAAATTGCCAATGGAAAAATCTGATGAGATTTACCAAAAAAATGCTGAGATTGCAAAGTTGAAGGAAGAAAATTTAAAGCAGAAGGAAATAATTGCTCAGTTACAACAGGAAATTGAAAATATGAAGATTGAAATTAATAACAAATGAAAAGCATCCAGAATAATTAATCACTGTATTCATTTTAAATCTGAATCAATTCAATTTGTTTCTGAAAAAAATTCTTTTCTCTCAAAAATGGGGAAAATTTGAACACAGCCTTAATCTTTAAACTAAGGTCTTTAGGCACATAAGGTTAGTAATTACACTAGACCATCGGCAAATACTAAAAATTATGGGAGATACATTCTCTCTCTCGGTCCGAGTCATTGTTGTATGTTTAATGACATCCATATACATATGCGTACTGTATATATATATAAGCAGAAGATCTCGTGATTCCCATTTGCTTCAGAGTCAACCAGTTTAAGTCTTTTACCTCCATATTTAGTGAAAACCCTGGTTTATTAGAAGAGCACTGGATTCCAGGTAAATTACTACTAAATAGTAGCTGGTTTGGAGTTAACTTCAGCTCTGAGATATGAAACAATATACAGTAGTAGTTCTGAAGACTACTGTGGCAACATATCAAAATGTATTTTTTCATGGCAGTCCACATGCAAAATACAGGATGACAAGTTTTTATCATGGCGGCAGGTCACAATACATAACAGCAGTGAAGAACATAGTTCAATATTTTCTGTAACATCAATTCTTTACTAATTGTAGCAGCATTTCAAAAGCTGGTAATATGAGAAGCTATATGCAACAGCAGACCATTTGCTAAATTCATCATCAAGTAAAGAGTTATGTACAGTACAGCTAAGAGTCAGCTGACACAGCACAAGCTAAGATACAATACACAGTCAGTAACTAACAGAAAGTCAAGACCTTGATTGCAGTAGAAAGTGAAGGGCAGTTACAACATCATTTCAAAAATTGGTTATGGTACCAAGTTAGGGTCATTAATGGGACTGCAGCTACAGGATATGGTAGCAAGTTAGGGTCATTAATGGGACTGCAGCTACAGGTTATGAGTTGTGTATGATAGTAGGTCTTGAAATAGATGATATTTAGTCAAAATACAGCTGATTGTATTTTAACTGCAGGTGCAAGATTTGAATTATAATTAAAGCAGCAGGTTCCCAACTTCATCTATTTGTTAGCTAAATGAAGCAGCAAAAGTAGAACAGTGTACAATCAAAACTACGGCATAAGAATAGTGGGGTTTCCACTAATCTGAGAATTACCATTTGACACTAGTGGCAGATCTATATTTATTGTAGGGGGTTTAAGTTTATTTTTTATTGTTTATGCAATTCATAAAGTTATAAAAGGGTAAATATAAAATGATGTACAGTTTTCATAGTCTGGGCTAAATCCTCATAGCAGCAAAGTTTTCCCTGGAAACAACAATAGTCACTCATTGTATGAAGTGACATCAACAGTTACATTTCACCAAAAAAATAAAAAATAAAAAAAAATAAAAAAAGATTATCAGAAGTGTGAAAAAATATTCTTGGATTTTTATCATGATTTAGGATTACTATGTGATTTGATTGTTATTCGCTCAAACATGAAATGAGTTGTGTTTGTGATTTTATGTAGTGTTATGGGAAGGTTTGATAGTGAGGTCTCTGAATCCACTTTTGATCTGCCACTGGACATAAATTGTTCCTATTGGTTTATTCCAAGTGTCATGTTGTGATGAGTTCAGGATCTGTTTAACAAGTTCAGAACCCCTGTATGTACAGTCCTTTGTTATTGTTTTTTGTAATATTCCCCTTACAAGTGAACAAATTGTAAATATGTAATGACATATAATTCACCACTTTGGAGGTTAGAAAAAATGTAAGCCTTATCTCTCAGTTAAGTTTGAAATCATTTGCAGATAATGTACTGTACTTCTAATTCAAGGTTATTTTAGCAAAGGTATAAACTTTGTATATATATATATATATATATATATATATATATATATATATATATATATATATATATATATATATATATATATATATATATATATATATATATATATATATATATATACTGTATATATATATATATATATATATATATATATATATATATATATATATATATATATATATATATATATATATATATATATATTATATTTTTATATATTGTGTGTGTGTGTCTGTGTGTGTATGCATATGCATATATATATATATATATATATATATATATATATATATATATATATATATATATATATATATATATATATATATATATATATATAAATTTGGTTATTATTATTATTCCTATTATCATCACATTGTAATTATACAGTATTTGGATGGGAGGGTTATGGTTTGTAATCATGGTAACTGAGAGACATGATATATTTGTCAAGTTTGTGCATAATTATAAAGTTCCTTTATCGTGCTAGAAGAGTATTTGGAAGATTTCTTATATCATGTACTGTAAAGCAGAATTGTTGTTCAGTCACTGTATAAGTCATTACTATTGTTGAAGTACTCCTAATTGGTCTTATTAAGTCAATATACTACTAATAACAAATACAAAATAGTGCTTTATATGATGCATGTTAATTTGTTTGTAAATACAAGTAGGACTCTGGTCTTTGTATCTTTTCTGTACCTTTGCTTACCAGATTTGTTATTTATGATATTCATTATGTTTATTCCATTGTCTTTTTTGTGGGAAGGTCAAAGGAGACAAATCTAAACAAGGAAATAATAAATGAGTAATGCAAGACAAGTCTACAATGTGAGAGGAAAGGCTTGTTCATATTTTCCACTTACTTACACTGTTGATCTATAATGCTTTATATTAATTATTCTAAAGTACTGTTGTTGTTTTTTATTCATTTAGCTAAGGGCTGGGCATTTGTTATGTCTTTAGTATCCATAGGCTCTTGTGTTTCTGTCCATGGTTTACCTTAACATTTTCAGGGCCAGTTAAGCTCTTGATGGTTTGACAAGTTACAGACATTCCCTGATTTAAAGGTTCCTTTAGAAGTTTTTCATAAATCAATATTTTATCAGTCAGACCCCATTTTCATATTTTTAGACTTATTTATACAAGCTAAGATACATTCATATGAAAAAATCTTTCAAAAACATCTTAAAATGCCACAACACATGTGTTTAATGAAAAATTTTTGGCATACAATGATTATAAACCAAAATTAAACATAAGTGAAATACAATACAGTACTGTGTACTGTACACATACTCCAAAAAGAATCTGCAAGGTGTGGTTCAATGAATTTCAAAATGAACACCAGCTCTGTTGTCTTGGTAGGGTTGTCAAAATCCATATTGTCTTGTACTAAATCATTTAAGATACTTTTTGAGTGAGCATACTGTATATGTTGTCGGTAGGATCTCAAGTTCAGCGAGTTTTAGATTCGTGATTCATATGTTTAGCGTCACTAAAAATTTCAGCCTCCCAAGAATAGCGATTTTCATTACCAGTTTGAGTCTTTTGAGAGGACAGTGCACATTGTTATGGTCTTTTGTTATCCGTCCACCAGCCGAGTGTTTTTTTTTACTGCGTAACGGCAGTTAGTTTGAATGGGCGGCGGTGCAGTGACCCTGGATTATATAACCCATTGTGATTGCATTTCGTGAGATTCTTGTTTAACTTAACAATTCTTGTGCATTAATGAGGAGGAAGTGCTTAATGTAATTGTCGGGAGCCGGTTCTGGTGGTAATGATGGCTGTAGAGAAGGTCAGAAAGCCCCCAAGCCAAGTGTGACAACCCTAGGGTTATGGCGCCCTTGCTTAA